CTTCACACACTCAAAATAACAGCAACAAACTCCCACAATCATAATGGGAATTCCTTTTTTTTTTTTTTTTTTTTTGCGGTACACGGGCCTCTCACTGTTGTGACCTCTCCCCTTGCGGAATACAGGCTCCGGACGCGCAGGCTCAGCGGCCATGGCTCACGGGCCCAGCCGCTCCAAGGCATGCAGGGTCCTCCCGGACCGGGGCACGAACCCGTGTCCCCTGCATTGGCAGGCAGACTCTCAACCACTGCGCCACCAGGGAAGCCCGGGAATTCTTAATAGACCTGAGAATTTGACAGATAAGGACATGTAAATAATTATTTAGAGGATTTGAATAGGTGTGTTTTACTCCACATCATTTTCAGATATTCATGGAACACTTATAAAAGTTAATCTTCTAAGAAAATTTCATTTAAAATATCTAAATTAAAAACACCCTACATAGAAAATTTTAGGTTACTTTTTCTAAACAGAGTACAATAAAACAAGACATTAACAATAAAAGGATAACCCTCAAAACCAAGTACTTGGAAACTAGTAAGTAGTCTTCTTAAAAGCTCTTGGGTCTAAGAGAAAATCTAGTTTGAAATTACAGTCCATTTAGAAATTAATTACAATAAAAACTCTATATCAAAACCTATGTAATATTGTCAAAGCACCCATTAGAGGAAAATTCATAGCTTTAATAGCTTTTAATATTAAATATGAAAGATTGAAACCAACAGAAGCAATCATTCTACTCTAGAAGTTTAAAAAAGTCAAAATAAATTTAAAACTAAGGCAGAAGTAAAGAATTAATGAGAACAAGTCGAGTCTGGAAGGAGGTGCTCTCACTGGGGCCTCACAACTCCTCCATGTTGATGTGCTATTGTCAATCCCTGCTTCGGCTGTAGGATGCGGGCCACGACTCAGCGTGGGTGTGGATGGAAAAGTGTAGGGTCCACAGACTGCGAGGCTGCCGTAGAAAGGCAAAGAGCGATGGTCAGGGCTGTCTTCCCATCTTATACGTGAGTGCCTGCAGAGGTGGGGGAAATGGCTCAGAGGCCTGCAGCCAAACAGGCAGGGCGGGGACCAGGGCTCTGACTCAGGTCCTGTACTTCAGCCTCTCCTCCTTGGCCAGGTTTGCAGAGGCCATGGGTGTGGAACACAACTTGGCCTTGAACAATTTGCTGTCTTCAGTCCAGGCGAGGGAGGGCGTGTGTGGGAGAGTTGTAAAGTCTCCTTCTGGAATGTGTAGTGACAGCTAATCTTTCTCACCTGTCACTGCCAAGCCTCACCTGCTTCTTCCTGCCAAACCGCTGGTTCTGGGCTTCCAGCGAGGCAGCCTGGGATTTGACTCCCGTGTGGAAAGGCAGCCTTTTGCTTTCCATTATTTAGAGCTATACACATAGGAGGTGCTTCATAAATGTGGCTGATGGACCCATGGAGCAAGGTTTCCACCTGGTCACCTTTCTGGCTCTTACAGCCTGGTCTCTTTACTCCATCTGGCCACCCTCTGGCCGTGTGGACATGCTCGCTTTGCACTCCAGCCAGGCCACGCTCTGGCCACACTGCGATCTGTTCTTGAAACACTCTTCTCCTAGTTTCTGTCTGGAAAATTCCTATTTATCCTCCACAACTCTGCTTAAATATGAAGGCTTCCCTGATTTTTCCAGACGATGCCTCTTTATTCTCAGCCTCTTGTGCATTCCCAGTTTGGAGCACTTTCCCTTTATATTGTAATTATTTATTCACATGCCTGTGGTCCCTACTACACAGAACTTCTCTATTCTCAAACTCCAGCGTCTGGCTGGCACGTGTAGAAGGAGCTCAGTGCATATTTGTTAAAGGATGAGTCAGTGCTCCACGCAAAGGAAACTTCCAGTTCGATCTGTCAGAAGCGCCTAAGTTTTTTCACTTGACATTTTTTTACGAAAAATGTAAACGTACACCAAAATAGAAAGGATTTTACAGTGTACCCTTGTATATGCATCACTTAGATTCTACCGTTAATGTTTTATTCTTCTTGTTTTATGACATAGCTTCCTGTCTGTTAATCTATGAATCACCTGTCTATGATCATCCTTCTACCCATCTATTAATTACCTTACAATCTGATACATTTCAAAGTAGATGGCAGACACCAATACTTCCCCCTAAACACTTCAGTAGGCATACTAACTTTTTCATATTTTTAACTAAAGTCACATTCCTTGTCCAGAAATCTGAAATTGAAATCGTAAGTATCCATTTTTATAACAATAATAATAATAAATTCTTATATCACTAGAGTATATTTATAATATTCGAAGCGATTTTATATGTATTTACTGTATACGATAACTTTAAAAGGTAGGAATTACTCTCAATGTTTTTCAGTTGAGACAACTGAAATTTGGGGAGAGAAAGGGATTTCCTAAAGCTGCTGCTAGGCAACAGCATTCATGCATGTAATCTTCAAAAATGAACTGAGAACTTGCTATGTGGCAGGCACATCTTGGGACATGGCAGAAGAGAACCAGACAGACAGCAGTTCTGTCCCAGAGTGGCTCCCACATTTCTGGGGAAGGCACTCAACCCCCGTTCTACAGTTACAGGGTAGGGTGAGAAGGATGAGGGCAGGAGGGGCCTGGGACTTTTCTATGTCCAGAGTGCTCTCCCCACTCTTTTACCCACAGCGTTCTGGAGGGTGAGACCAGGAGAGAAGGCCCTTTGAACCCAGGAAGGCTAAGGCACAGATAGCCTTCACCATGGCCAGTCTTCCTGTCCTCGCCCCACCTGCTCACACCTGGTCACTCCCCTTGGACCTCCTGGGCCTCTGTGCATGCTGCTTTGGTGGGAGATTTGGAAGTTTGAACAGGAAAGGGGGACTCTTAGGAAATTCAGCACAGAGTCCCCCTTCCCCAGGGTTCCAAGCTGTGTTCTTTCCACAAGTGTTCACTTCTTTCAGGGAGGAGAAAAATTAGGACAAAGGAAAGAGCATGAACAAAGGAAAGGAAGCCAAAAAGCTCAGGACCTGTCCGGAAAACCCTAGATGGTTCGATTCGGATGATGTATGGAGTGTGTAAAGGGGAATCGCAGAGAATAAGGCAGGTGAGATTGGTTAGGTCAGTCCTTAGAGGGCTTGACTGTGAAGCTAAGCTGCTCAGACTTTATCTGACCTGTGAGAAGCCACAGAAGGATTTTTGTAAAAGTTAGATTTATAATAGTAAAACTTACAGCCAGTAAAATTCACCCTTTTTAGGTATATAGCTCTATGAGATCTTTTTTCCAGTTCTGTGAGTTTTGACAAATGTATATAGTCATGTAATTAATCACCCAAACAAGCAAGATAAAGGATATTACCATCACCCCTAAAAGTTTCCTCGTGCCATTTGTAGGCCCCAGCCCCTGGCAACTACTGATGTGATTACCAGCCCTATAGTTTTGCCTTTTCCAGAATGTCATATAAATGGAATCATGCCGTATGTAGAATCTTGTTTCTTTCATTTTGCATGGTGTTCTTGAGATTCATCCATACTGTTGCTTATATTAGCAGTTTGTTGCTTTTTAATGCTGACTTGTGTTCTCTTGAATGGATATACCACAGTTTATCCACTTTCAAGGAGAGGGCCATTTGGGTTGTTTCCAGTCTGGGCAATTTTGAATAAAGCTGCTATAAGCAGTCCCATATAGGTCTTCATGTAGACATATGCTTTCGTTCTTCTTTGGGAAATATCTAGAGTAGGATTTCTAGGTCACTTGATAAATGTATGTATAACTTTATAAGAAACTGCCCAACTATTTTCTGAAAAGATTGTATTCCCACTAACAATGTATGTGGATCTAATTGCTTTACATTCTTGTCAACATTTGGTATTATAAGGCTTTTTTTCCTTCCAAATTTAGCCATCCTAATAGGGGTATTTCCTTGTGGTTTGAATTTGCATTTCTCTAACGACAAGATGTTGGGCATTTTTCCATGTACCTCCTCCATATCTCTTCTTTTACACATTTTAAAAAACGGTTACTTGTTTTCTTCTATTAAGTGTTGAGAGTCCTTTATATATTCCAGGCATACATCCTTTATCAGACATGTATTGTGCAAATATTTTCTTCCGGACCCTCAAAAGGGTTTAAATGGGAAGTAACTCTTGTGTTTTAAAGACGTACTCTGTGGCATTGTTGGGTAGGGGAGTGGGATGGGGCCGGATGGAGACAAGGAGGCCGACTTAGTGTCAGGTGAGAGCTGAGGCTCTGAGCCAGGCCAGGGGCAGTGGGCTGGGGAGGACTGAAGAGCAGAAGGCACGGAGACCCACCAGATCATCATAAAGGCCTCTTTGGCCCTGTAAGCCCGCCCTCCTGCCTGCCTTCCTTTGACAGATATTTGTGGACACCACCTTTCAAGCATCTGAAACAGTCTAGGCATAGGGGAAATATCAATAAAGACATCAAAGTCCTGTCTTCATCAAGTTTACGTCTTGGTGGGAAAGACAGACAACGAACAAACACATACATGTGTGCACCATAATGGCTGGTATATGCTGTTGGACACACAAAGCAAGGGGTTCTTATAAAATGCCACCTTCCAAATGGCTTCTGAGATGAAACCAGAGAGAGTCCTCATGGTTCCACCCTTAGGAAAGAATCCGAGCAATGGGAGGGATGTTAGACTGTGGTCAGGGGATCTGGGCTGGAATTCTGGTCATCAGCGTGACCTCAGACAAGTTCCCTCCTTTTTGTGACCCTCAGTCTCCCTATTGGGATGGTCTTTTAGGTGCTAGGATTTTGTATTTGAAGTTCTTACAAACCGGTTTGGGGGCTCTGATGAGCCAAAGTAGGTGCATAGCAGAGGAATTTCCTCCTTAGAACCAGGCTGTTTTGTTGGAAAAGCTCTAGAGGTTATCAATTTTGGCCTCTCAACTAATGTAGGATCCCCTAGGAAGCACCCTGTTCATCCCCTGTGGGTGCCCCTCCAGGGATGGGGGACTCAATCTCTTCCAAGGGACCAGTTCCATTTTCTCTTTCTCTGTCTTTTAAAGGGAAAGAATCACACCTTTTACTAGGGGGAAGTGCTCTCCAGCTGTGGATTACAATTCAGATCCTATTCCTTAAAGTCGCACATGAAGGACAGCCTGCAGTGACCGGAGGACCCAAAGGCCTGAAGACAGATCTGGGGATGGGAGGGTAGGAGTGGGAATGGGGGGTCTTGGAGAAAGGACACATGGGAATGCCTGGAAGAGGGGAGAGGTGTGGTGGGATCACTTTTGCTGGAGATGTCTACCGGGAGGTCGTGATGTCTGCTGGGCCAGATATCTTTTGATATGAGAGATCAATTATCCTGAGAATTGGCTACTGACATGAACATGGGAGCCAGACAGCAGATGGACTAAAGGGGTGGAATGTGGTTGACACTCTTGGAACCCCTTTTATTCTAAAGCCAAAGTCCTTGGATCCCTGATCAGTAAAACCCAAAGAGAGTTGGGAGAGTGGAGCTTATGTCCTAAGGTGGCTGTAGGCCCTCTCTGGGAATACTCCATCTCCATCCCAGGATGCTCCTGGAAGCTCAGCAGGGCCAAATGCCATGAGGAGGCTGCTGACCTCCAGGAATCATGCAGCCATTGGGAACAAACAGTTCCACTCCCAAAGTCAGAACTCGTGGGCACGCCAGTCTAGCCCAGAGGTGGGTCTGTGCGGGTTGGTCACAATGTCCTGAGCTTCTGCCCTCAATGTTTTTGGACAGTGAGAGATTGGGTGGGATGGCAGGAGTGTGTTGTCTTTAGAAAAGAGGAGACAGACTCACAACCTCAGCCACAAAACTCACATAATGATAAAAAATACTTCAAACAATCTTAAGAGCATGAGTGCCTTACAGAAGTTACTTCGTCACTCATGTCAAAATGACTGTTTTGGGAGAAGTAAAACTGAATTTATTCACAGGCATGTGGTCTATCGAAAAAAAGATACTACTGAATCCTCAAAAAGGTTGATAAGCCAAACTAGGTGCAAGTAGGTCTAATAAGTCTGCAACGTTTCAGGAAATAAGATCAAATACCCAAATCAAATATTGCTATACACTAGCAATAAACAACCAAAAACTGAAAATGCCATATATAATAGCATCAAAACTATCAAATACTTAGGTATAAATTTGACAAAAGAGGTATAAGACTTGTACAGTGAAAACTATAAAATTTCTCTCTGCTGAGAGAAATTAAAGAAGACCTAAGTAAAGGGAGAGATATACCATAATCATGGATCAAAAGACTCAATGTTGTTAAGATGCCAATTCCCTCAAATTCAATTATAGATTCAATACCAATCAAAATCCTAGTAATTTTTTTTATTATTACTTTTTTTATACAGCAAGTTCTTATTAGTCATCAATTTTATACCCATCAGTGTATACATGTCAATCCCAATCACCCAATTCAGCACACCACCATCCCCACCCTCCTGGCGTTATCCCCCTTTGGTGTCCATATGTTTGTTCTCTACATCTGTGTCTCAACTTCTGCCCTGCAAACTGGTTCATCTGTACCATTTTTCTAGGTTCCACATACATGCGTTAATATACGATATTTGTTTTTCTCTTTCTGACTTACTTCACTCTGTATGACAGTCTCTAGATCCATCCACGTCTCAACAAATGACTCAATTTCGTTCCTTTTTATGGCTGAGTAATATTCCATTGTATATATGTACCACATCTTCCTTATCCATTTGTCTGTCGATGGGCATTTAGGTTGCTTCCATGACCTGGTTATTGTAAATAGTGCTGCAACGAACATTGGGGTGCATGTGTCTCTTTGAATTATGGTTTTCTCTGGGTATATGCCCAGTAGTGGGATTGCTGGGTCATATGGTAGTTCTATTTTTAGTTTTTTAAAGAAGCTTCATACTGTTCTCCATAGTGGCTGTATCAATTCACATTCCCACCAACAGTGCAAGAGGGTTCCCTTTTCTCCACACCCTCTCCAGCATTTGTTGTTTGTAGATTTTCTGATGATGCCCATTCTAACTGATGTGAGGTGATACCTCATTGTAGTTTTGATTTGCATTTCTCTAATAAATAGTGATGTTGAGCAGCTTTTCATGTTCTTCTTGGCCATCTGTATGTCTCCTTTGGAGAAATGTCTATTTAGGTCTTCTGCCCATTTTTGGATTGGGTTGTTTGTTTCTTTAATATTGAACTGCATGAGCTGTTTATATATTTTGGAGATAAATCCTTTGTCCGTTGACTCGTTTGCCGATACTTTCTCCCATTCTGAGGGTTGTCTTTTCATCTTGTTTATGGTTTCCTTTGCTGTGCAAAAGCGTTTAAGTTTCATTAGGTCCCATTTGTTTATTTTTGTTTTTATTTCCATTACTCTAGGAGGTGGATCAAAAAAGATCTTGCTGTGATTTATGTCAAAGAGTGTTTTTGCTATGTTTTCCTCTAAGAGTTTTATAGTGTCCAGTCTTACATTTAGGTCTTGAATCCATTTTGAGTTTATTTTTGTGTATGGTGTTAGGGAGTGTTCTAATTTCATTCTTTTACATGTAGCTGTCCAGTTTTTCCAGCACCACTTATTGAAGAGACTGTCTCTTCTCCACTGTATATCTTTGCCTCCTTTGTCATAGATTAGTTGACCATAAGTGCATGGGTTTATCTCTGGGCTTTCTATCTTGTTCCATTGATCTATGTTTCTGCTTTTGTGCCAGTACCATATTGTCTTGATTACTATAGCTTTGTAGTATAGTCTGAAGTCAGGGAGTTTGATTCCTCCAGCTCCGTTTTTTTCCCTCAAGACTGTTTTGGCTATTCGGGGTCTTTTGTGTCTCCATACAAATTTTAAGGTTTTTGGTTCTAGTTCCATAAAAAATGACATTGGTAATTTAATAGGGATTGCATTGAATCTGTAGATTGCTTTGGGTAGTAGAGTCATTTCCACAATATTGATTCATCCAATCCAAGAACATGGTTTATCTCTCCATCTGTTGGTATCATCTTTAATTTCTTTCATCAGTGTCTTATAGTTTTCTGCATACAGGTCTTTGTCTCCCTAGGTAGGTTTATTCCTAGGTATTTTATTCTTTTCCTTGCAATGGTAAATAGAAGTGTTTCCTTAATTTCTCTTTCAGATTTTTCATCATTAGTGTATAGGAATGCAAGAGATCTCTGTGCATTAATTTTGTATCCTGCAACTTTACCAAATTCATTGATTAGCTCTAGTAGTTTTCTGGTGGCATTTTTAGGATTCTCTATGTATAGCATCATGTCATCTGCAAACAGTGACAGTTTTACTTCTTCTTTTCCAATTTGTATTCCTTTTATTTCTTTTTCTTCTCTGATTTTCGTGGCTAGGACTTCCAAGACTATGTTGAATAATAGTGGTGAGAGTGGACATCCTTGTATTGTTCCTGATCTTAGAGGAAATGCTTTCAGTTTTTCACCATTGAGAATGATGTTTGCTGTTGGTTTGTCGTATATGGCCTTTATCATGTTGAGGTAGGTTCCCTCTATGCCCAATTTCTGGAGAGTTTTTATCATAAATGTATGTTGAATTTTGTCAAAAGCTTTTTCTGCATCTATTGAGATGATCATATGGTTTTTATTCTTCAAGTTGTTAATATGGTGTATCACATTGATTGATTTGTGTATATTGAAGAATCCTTGCATCCCTGGGATAAATCCACCTTGATCATGGTGTATGATCCATTTAATGTGTTGTTGGATTCTGTTTGCTAATATTTTGTTGAGGATTTTTGCATCTATGTTCATCAGTGATATTGGTCTGTAATTTTCTTTTTTTGTAGTATCTTTGTCTGGTTTTGGTATCAGGGTGATGGTGGCCTCATAGAATGAGTTTGGGAGTGTTCCTTCCTCTGCAATTTTTTGGAAGAGTTTGAGAAGGATGGGTGTTAGCTCTTCTCTAAATGTTTGATAGAATTCACCTGTGAAGCCATCTGGTCCTGGACTTTTGTTTGTTGGAAGATTTATTTATTTATTTATTTATTTTGCGGTATGTAGGGCTCTCACTGTTGTGGCCTCTCCCATTGTGGAGCACAGGCTCCGGACACGCAGGCTTAGCAGCCATGGCTCACGGGCCCAGCCACTCCACGGCATGTGGGATCTTCCCGGACCGGGGCATGAACCCGTGTCCCCTGTATCGGCAGGCGGACTCTCAACCACTGCACCATCAGGGAAGCCCCTGTTGGAAGATTTTTAATCACAGGTTCAATTTCATTACTTTGATTGGTCTGTTCATATTTTCTATTTCTTCCTGGTTCAGTCTTGGAAGGTTATACCTTTCTGAGAATTTGTCCATTTCTTCCAGGTTGTCCATTTTATTGGCATAGAGTCACTTGTAGTATTCTCTTAGGATGCTTTGTATTTCTGCACTGTCTGTTGTAACTTCTCCTTTTTCATTTCTAATTTTATTGATTTGAGTCCTCTCCCTCTTTTTCTTGATGAGTCTGGCTAATGGTTTATCAATTTCGTTTATCTTTTCAAAGAACCAGCTTTTAGTTTTATTTATCTTTGCTATTGTTTCCTTTGTTTCTATTTCATTTATTTCTGCTCCGATCTTTATGATTTCTTTCCTTCTGCTAACTTTGGGTTTTCTTTGTTCTTCTTTCTCTAGTTCCTTGAGGTGTAAGGTTAGATTGTTTATTTGAGATATTTCTTGTTTCTTGAGGTAGGCTTGTATAGCTATAAACTTCCCTCTTAGAACTGCTTTTGCTGCATCCCATAGGTTTTGGATCGTCGTGTTTTCATTGTCATTTGTCTCTAGGTATTTTTTGATTTCCTCTTTGATTTCTTCAGTGATCTCTTGGTTATTTAGTAACGTATTGTTTAGCCTTCATGTGTTTGTGTTTTTTACGTTTTTTCCCCCTGTAATCATTTCTAATGTCATAGCATTGTGGTCAGAAAAGATGCTTGATATGATTTCAATTTTCTTAAATTTACCAAGGCTTGATTTGTGACCCAAGATGTGATCTATCCTGGAGAATGTTCCGTGCGCACTTGAGAAGGAAGTGTAATCTGCTGTTTTTGGATGGCATGCCTTTTAAATATCAATTAAATCTTTCTGGTCTATTGTGTCATTTAAAGCTTCTGTTTCCTTACTTATTTTCATTTTGGATGATATGTCCTTTGGTGTAAGTGAGGTGGTAAAATCCCCCACTATTATTGTGTCACTGTCAATTTCCTCTTTTACAGCTGTTAGCAGTTGCCTTATGTATTGAGGTGATCCTATGTTGGGTGCATACATATTTACAATTGTTATATCTTCTTCTTGGATTGATCCCTTGATCATTATGTAGTGTCCTTCCTTGTCTCTTGTAACATTCTTTATTTTAAAGTCTATTTTATCTGATATGAGTATAGCTACTCCAGCTTTCTTTTGATTTCCATTTGCATGGAATATCTTTTTCCATCCCCTCACTTTCAGTCTGTATGTGTCCCTAGGTCTGAAGTGGGTCTCTTGTGGACAGCATATATATGGGTCTTGTTTCTGTATCCATTCAGCAAGCCTGTCTCTTTTGGTTGGAACATTTCATCCATTCACGTTTAAGGTAATTATCGATATGTATGTTCCTACGACCATTTTCTTAATTGTTTTGGGTTTGTTTTTGTAGGTTCTTTTTTTCTCTTGTATTTCGCACTTAGAGAAGTTCCTTTAGCATTTGTTGTAGAGCTGGTTTGGTGGTGCTGGATTCTCTTAGTTTTTGCTTGTCTGTAAAGCTTTTGATTTCTCCATCGAATCTGAATGAAATCCTTGTTGGGTAGAGTAATCTTGGTTGTAGTTTCTTCCCTTTCATCACTTTAAGTATATCATGCCACTCCCTTCTGTCTTGTAGAGTTTCTCCTGAGAAATCAGCTGTTAGCCTTATGGGAGTTCCCTTGTATGTTATTTGTTGTTTTTCCCTTGCTGCTTTCAATAATTTTTCTTTGTCTTTAATTTTTTGCCAATTTGATTACTATGTGTCTCGGTGTGTTCTCCTTGGGTTTATCCTTTATGGGACTCGCTGCACTTCCTGGACATGGGTGGCTATTTCCTTTCCCATGTTAAGGAAGTTTTCGACTATAATCTCTTCAAATATTTTCTCGGGTCCTTTCTCTCTCTTCTTCTTCTTCTGGGACCCCTATATTGCGACTGTTGTTGCGTTTAATGTTGTCCCAGAGGTCTCTTAGGCTGTCTTCATTTCTTTTCATTCTTTTTTCTTTATTCTGTTCCACAGTAGTGAATTCCACCATCCTGTCTTCCAGGTCACTTATCCGTTCTTCTGCCTCAGTTATTCTGCTATTGATTTCTTCTAGTGTAGTTTTCATTTCAGTTATTGTATTGCTCATCTCTGTTTGGTTGTTCTTTAATTCTTCTAGGTCTTTGTTAAACATTTCTTGCATCTTCTCGGTCTTTGCCTCCATTCTTTTTCCAAGGTCCTGGATCATCTTCACTATCATTATTCTGAATTCTTTTTCTGGAAGGCTGCCTATCTCCACTTCATTAAGTTGTTTTTCTGGGGTTTTATCTTGTTCCTTCATCTGGTACATAGCCCTCTGCCTTTTCATCTTGTCTGTCTTTCTGTGAATGTGGTTTCTGTTCCACAGGCTTCAGGATTGTAGTTCTTCTTGCTTCTGCTGTCTGCCCTCTGGTGGATGAGGCTATCTAAGAGGCTTGTGCAAGTTTCCTGATGGGAGGGACTGGTGGTGGGTAGAGCTGACTGTTGCTCTGGTGGGCAGAGCTCAGTAAAACTTTAATCCTCTTGACTGCTGATGGGTGGGGCTGGGTTCCCTCCCTGTTGGTTGTTTGGCCTGAGGCAACACAACACTGGAGCCTATCTGGGCTCTTTGGTGGGGCTAATGGCAGACTCTGGGAGGGCTCACACCAAGGAGTACTTCCCAGAACTTCTGCTGCCAGTGTCCTTGTCCCCACAGTGAGCAACAGCCACCCCCCGCCTCTGCAGGAGACCCTCCAACACTAGCAGGTAGGTCTGGTTCAGTCTCCCCTGGGGTCACTGCTCCTTCCCCTGGGTCCTGATGCACACACTACTTTGTGTGTGCCCTCCAAGAGTGGCGTCTCTGTTTCTCCCAGTCCTGTCGAAGTCCTGCAATCAAATCCCACTAGCTTTCAAAGTCTGATTCTCTAGGAATTCCTCTTACCGTTGCCGGACCCCCAGATTCGGAGGCCTGACGTGGGGCTCAAAACCTTCACTCCAGTGGGTGGACTTCTGTGGTATAAGTGTTTTCCAGTCCATGAGTCACCCACCCAGCAGTTATGGGATTTGATTTTACTGTGATTGTGCCCCTCCTACCATCTCATTATGGCTTCTCGTTTGTCTTTGGAAGTGGGGTATCTTTTTTGGTGAGTTCCAGTGTCTTCCTGTCGATGATTGTCCAGCAGCTAGTTGTGATTCTGGTGTTTTCACAAGAGGGAGTGAGAGTCGTCCTGCTACTCCACCATCTTGGTTCAGGCCCTTGACATTGTGGTTTTATTATCAATAACCTTTTGATTTGTTCACTGTCGTACACATTTGCTTTTTATCTTAGTAGAGAAATTTCTGAAAATTATTAGAAATAGCCAAATTTTAGTATTTTTCTATTTTTATGTAACAATCTACCTTGATTTTGCTCATCCAAAACAATAATTCATCTTATTTGACTCAGTCCTGTGGAATCACTCATTTTCTCAACATTCAGTTCAACCTTTTACCCACTTGCCAATGCCTCTTTCCTACACTCCTTCTTGCTCTCATCCTGTCTTCCTAAAAACTTACTCCTAAGTATTTTATTAACAAGGAGGCATAATTGATGAAAAACAACTTAATGTTTTCCTTTCTGAAATTATTTGCATTTTAACCCTTACATTAACAAGATGGGACTCTAATGGAGGAATTGTAGGCATCCATCAGAAGGTTGGAGCAGACCCCTATAAGCAAATCCTATAAAGTGGTGCTTATTCTTCTTATTTTAAGGATTTGGGGGTATTACCCGTTCTGTTTACTCATCAGTTAAGCTGCAAATATGCTTGATATACCTCAAGTCCTTCATATGAGTCAAGGTGGCAAAACAGAGAGTTAGCAATTTCAGGCAGAGATTACCTGTTGTTGCAGTGCTGGGATGCCTAGCACAGTGCCAAGCCTACAACGAATGCACAACTGTCTGTTGTTTAACTGGTCAACCAAGAGTGATTCAGGCTGTGGTCATTGATCCCTAGATTGCTGACTTTATTTGCTTTTACTGCCAATCCCTGCAATTCTGTTATAGATTATATGCAGGAGATGGTTGTGAGTTCTGTTCATGGTTCCTTCATATATAGAAGAACGAATGGTCTTACAAAATCAGGAACATGCCTAATCAGGCATGATCAATTATTAACTCCATTTCCAGCCCCTCTCCCCACCCTGGAGGATGTGGTGTGGTGGCAGGGGCTGAAATCATGGCTTGGCCTTTCTGGTGACCAGCCCCCATCCAAGAGCAATCCAGGTGCTCACCCAGAGTCACCTCATTAGAACAAAAGACACCCCATTACCCAGGAAATTCCAAGAGATTTAGGAGTTCAGTGTCAGGAACCAGGAGTATCTATCTATCAGCTATCTATCTATCTATCTATCTATCTATCATCTATCATCTATCTATATCTCTATCTGTAGATAGATATACATTTATATCTATATTTATTTATATTATCTTACAGTGCCCCATTTTTTTTTTTCTTTATCATTCCCTTGGATCTGCCCCCTAGGGAAACCCATGGGGAGGAGTATGATGGGCAGAGCAGGATTCAGCTATTTCTGGGTTCCTTGGCTCAACTATCTTCAAACCATCTGTCATCAGCAGTTCAGGCTGCTATAATAAATTACCACAGATTGCGTGGCTTATACAACAATTTATTTTGCATGGTTCTGGAGGCTGGGAAGTCCAAGATCAAGGTGCTGGAAGATCTGATGAGAGCCCTCTTCCTGGTCTGCAGATGGGCATCTTGTATCCCCACAAAGAGGGCTAGCTGTTTCATTTCTCTTCTTAGGACACCACTCCTATCATGAGGGTAATTACCCTCATGGCCTAATTACCTCCCAAAAGGCCCATCTCCCAATTCCATAACACTGTCAACATATGAATTTCAGGTCACAAACAGTCCATAGCATCAAAATACCACCTCCTAGAAATCAACAAAGCCTCCCAACCTTTCACAACCTGCAATGACTGCAGCGGTCCTACAGGATGAAACCTGTAGGCCATCCTAACACCAGGACATAGCTAGAAAACATGTTTTTGAAACACATCTACATTTAACTTGTGTAGTGTGTGTACATGTGTGTGTGTGTGTGCATGCGTGTGTGATTTTTCTTATATAAGCCAAGTTTGGAGAACCAACTGTTGCAACTCTGGCATGAATGTTGGTGTCTGGACACTGCCCACAGTGCCCACAGGGTCTGGTGGGGCAACACGGTTCCCTTGCAGAAGGAACTGCTTTGGGTCAAAGCAGAACCCTCTGCTGATCCCTAGTGGCTTCCTTTCTGAGCTGAGTTCACGAAGAGATTCCTGACTCCCCACTATGTGTGGGGCTCAGCGAAGTGTCTCATTTCACTGTTTCTAGACCTGGAACTACGGTCTTAACTAGCTCGGGGTGAGGCTCTTGAAGCATTTTGATGTTTGAAGACTAATGAGTCTGCATCCTTGTTTAACTCGTTAATGGCCTCAATGTGGCCTCCAAGCAAATCACTTGACCTTTCCTGAGCTTCACTTTCCTCATCTGTAAAATGGGGATAAAAACTGACCTGCTTTTGTTACAGGACTGTGAGGATTAAAGAAGATATTGTATGTTGCATGCTATTCAAATGTAAGGTGATAGTTCAGGTTTCAACTACAAAATCTGTTTTAAGGACATTAAAGATTTCTCCTCCTTTAAGGAGAATTTACAAATCCTGATTTGTGAAACTGAACAATTGGAAAAAGAATTTCCTAAGGGTTTCCTCTCAGACAACTTTAGGATGGGACCCTGACATCACATATATTTTAGGAAAATGTCCATCATGAATATCTATGCATTTGCATAAAACTTTATTGCACTAAACTCAACCCGTGTGTCTCTGTTCATTTAAGCCTGACGACCTGTAACAATTAGGGTGAGCTAAATTGCTCTAACAATTAGTCCTGAATACGCAGTGACTCAACTACAGTGAAAGTTTATTTCCTGTTCCCAGACCAGGCCTAAGTTCAGGTTGGTGGGCAGTTCTCCATACAGTGATTCAGGCACCTAGCTCCTTCCCCTTGTGACTCTGCTACCACCTATGGCCTGGTTGTCATCTGCGTCCAAATAACAGAAGAGCCAGAAGAACCTCACACAGGGCTTTACCACTTCTGCTCACAGTCTCCTAGAGCGACTCTAACCCAAGGGCCCATCTGAGGGCGAGGGAGGCTGGGAAATGTAGTCCAGTGCTGTGCTCCAAGGGAGGAAGGGGTTTTAGTGGACAGTTGGTGGTCTCTACCAGTGTGTAAATGAGGAAAGAGTCTCAATAGGATTAATTGATTTGCCAAAATTAGGTCATCCAAGTGACAAGGCCAGGACTGCGGCCCAGAGCTTCTGTCATGTCTGGTGCCTTAAAAAGCACAGCCCCACCTCGATCCGAGCCCCACCTCACCTGAACTCTTCTCACTGGTCTCCTAGCTTCCAAGTTTCTCCTTGTACTCTGTTCTCCACCCTGCAGATAGGGGAATATTATCAACATCTACGCCAGATCATTGTGACGGTGACGGAAATTCAAAAACAGTTAAGAAAATTACCCTGGTCCCTCTGCCCTAACACACCTGTCCCTTCCCCAACGCCATCTTCTAGCCCTCGCGGGTTCAGAGGGAAATTGGAGCCTGCACTTGAGCCAGGAGTGCCTCTACGTCGGGGTCCCCAGAGCAAGAAACGACAAAGGCTACTTTCCAGATCACACTTTTATTCTTACAGAAGCAGGGGCCACACAGTCATAGGGACGTGAAGTGTTCAGACAGTAGGCACAGCGCCTGCAGCTGCAGAGCCTGCTGGGGGGTGGGGGGGACCCAGGCCTTTTTCCGTGGTCCCCACGATTAAGGAAAAAACTAAAAATCACACAGCATTCACTGCCACCCCCATCCCCACCCCTTCCCTCTCAGTAACAGCTAATTAGATTATGCATCCTTCCAGCCAAAGAAACTGGCTAGAATCCGGATTTTACAGAAAACCTTCATGCAGAGAAACTCAGCGTTCCGGAAGGGAGAGGCCTCTTCTTATACTTTCCACACACGCTGCCCCACTCCCGCCACGTGCCAAGTTTAATTCCACCTGAAACCACCATCTGGATGGGTAGTGACGAGACTGGCTACAAGAAAGAGCTGGTCACTCAGCTCAACATGCTTGGAAGACTGCCCCTTTCTAGGCAAGATATCACTGAAGCGAAACACCAACCTGAGGCTGGTGTGATCCCCAGACCCTCCCTCCCTTCTGAGCCCCGGGTTCCGAGTGAGGTCTGCGAAGGGCAGGATTTTGCTTTGTAGGACTGAGGATAACAGAAGCTGCTGGCATCTCTGGCCACACTCCCAGGGGCCCAGGGACGGAGGCCCCACTGGTGAAAGGATGGGACCTTATCTGTGGGGCTAACCTAGCTCGGGCTCGCCATTCCTCTACAGTAAGTAGGATCATCAGTTTAGCGCCGAGCGGGAAGCCCACGGGCCCACTAGGAGAGCTAATGCCAGTATTCACGTGCTTTGCATACAAGCGAGAAAATGAGGTTTCTTATTTTTTTCTTATGCCCCCTCCAGAGGCCAAATGGGGAAGAGTGGTTCCTCTGCCATCTGAGTGTCCTGAATGCGCCCAGAACTCCCAGGAACGCGCCAAGACACTACAGCGTGCCCAGCCCAGGGCAGGATGAGCGAGCCTCGGCAGCCAGAGCACGGCTCTGGGAGGATCCTGGCAACCTGTGGTGACAAGACTGACACTTCCGTGCAGGCCACGGCTGCGCCTTTCTGAAAAGACGAGAGCTGGCCTTGGGCTGAAGGACCTTAAATGGGAGACAACCCCCAAGCGTCCACTTGGATCATTTGTTTTTCCTCTGACTATCCACACAAGAGGCTTTTCATGGGGTTTGCAGTCGTGGTGTTTAAGACAGCTCTGCGCTCCTACAGCAGAAGGGCCTCAGGTGGTCTTGTGTGCGCTGATGTGACAGATGAGGAAACTACAGCTCAGAGGGACAAATGACTTGCCCACGGGTGCAGAGCTCGTGAGGAACACAGCAAGGACTGAATGAAACCCAGGCCTCCTGGCTCCTGGTGCAGTGGTCCCTCTCTCTCTCTCTCTCTCCCAAAATGTCACTGCCTGGCACAGTTCACTTAATTCCAGCTTCCCTTACACAATTCCCTCTCAGATTCTGGGTTTTCAGCTGAGGCTGGGCAGTTCTCAAGACAGAGCTGCACAAACCACCAAGCTCTACTAGGCGGGCAGGGACCTGGGAAGGTTTCCTTCCCTCTGGAACGGAAATGGAGCTAACTTTTCTCTGAGCTTAGGATTTGTAAGGCACTAAAATTAACTACAGTTGGGGGCCGGGGGAGAAAGAAAAAAAGGGGGAGATGAGTGGTTGGAGAAATCAAGTTGATGCTGTTTTCTTTCAGCCCCGCAGTGAGGAACCCCACGAAGCCGAGTGACGGCGGGCTCCATCTTCCTGCTTGGCGCGGTCCCACCCCCCCCCAACTCCCACCCCTACTGCAGAGCAGAGGACACAGCCCCACCATGGCAAAGCGGGTTCTGGGAACAAGAGCCATGGAGGGTGGAGAGGCAAGAATGAGCCCAGGTCCTCTGGATTCAATTCAGAGCAGAGACCGCTCACCCAGCCTGGGCAGGTGTCCCAGGCCTGGGCCTGGCCAGGATTCAACCCTGAAGTGTCTTCTCCAAGGACACAGTCCCCTCTGAGTGGACCTGGGCAACGGCTGCAGTAGGCCTGCAAGCCTGAGCGTGAAGGAGGAAGGGGCAAGGCGCCACCGAGCACGGCAGGGAGAACTTTGGAATCAGACCTGGCTTTGGCACAGCACATCTTGGGCCCGCCCGCCCCATCTGTTGCCCTCCCAAGACCCCAGGGATGGAGAGGAACCTTCCTTCCTTCCCTCCGCGAGGAGGTCTTGCAGCTGACAAGTGATGGCAGCGCAACTCGAGGGCACCCCCTTCAGCCAAACCCGAGCCCAGGTGACCTAACATGGAGCCTTCCCGGACTCAACCACTGAATCCAAAGCACTTAGTCCGACGTGACGCTGAGTGGGAAGCCGTGCTAACAGCAGCTGCCGCTTCTCCGGCACCTCTGCTGCGACAGGCGCTTGACTCAGATGACAGTAGCAGGAAGACAGCATTACCCCCTTTCAACAGGTGAGGAACAGGGCTCAGAGTGGCTGAGTGACTCACTCAGAGTCACACAGCTCATGAGTGGCAGAACTGGGAACTAGACTCGGGTCTGTCTGACTCCAAATCTCACGTCCTGGCCACTCTGCTTGGCTGCCCCTGGAGGCTGGGAGCAGCTGTCGGGGCCGCCTGGGTGGGGGTTCTGGGGGGGTTTCTTTCTGAAAGTGTGGATCTGGCAGAGCAGCCAAGCTTGAGTGGAGGGAAGATAGATGCCTTCTGGCCCTGGGGACAGGGTCCGCCCTCGCGTCCGCCTCCTTCCGGGTGGGCTCCGGCTCAGTGCCTGGCAGCCTTGCAGATCTTGTCATAGACCTCCGGGAAGGCGTCCTGGCAGCCGAGCTGTTTCCGCAGCCTATGGTACAGGGAGCCGTCAAACATCTCCCAGAACTCCTCCCGGTCCATGTAGCAGTCGGCATACAGCATCTGGAACCTGCAGCGCAGACACAAGGGTGAGGACTCGGGGACGGGGTTCAGAGGGGCGGGGAGGGGAAAGGGGAGCAAAGAACCCCAGCCATCCCTAATGCGCCCCTCACGCACCGCCTGCTCTGCAGGGCAGGACGCGCTTTTGGAGGATTTCTCTTGTTTAATCCCCCTAATGAGCTAGAGGTTGGGGCTGGTGCAGGAATTCTTATCCCCATTTTACAGACGGGGAGTCTGGGCTCAGGGCTTTAAGTGGCAGTGGAGGCAGAGTCAGGAGAAGAATGCAGGGCACTGCATGCCCGTCTCCCCGATATGCTCACCAGGCTGCTTTCTCTCTCTTTTTTGACGGTCAGTAAACTGCACATAAGGAAAGTGTACAACTTGAAGCTACAAGGATATATGGCACAACACAGGGAATATAGCCAATATTTTATCATAACTATAGAGTATGACCTTTAAAAATTGTGAATCACTAAATTGTACACCTGTAACATAATATTGTACAGCAACTATGCTTCAATAACATAAATAAATAAAATAAGCAAAAAATTTTTTTTAATAAATTAAAAAACAAGAAATGTACTGCTTGATAAGTTTGATGTCTGTCTGTAACCTTGAAACTGTCACCTCAGTCCAGGTAACGGCCATATCCATCACCCCCAAACTTTCTTCATGCCCCGAATTCCCCTGTGTTGTCTGTCCGTCACCCTCCACAATGCCAGGCAGAACTGCCTTCTGTCACCATGGGTTCATCTGCATTTCCCAGAATTTTATATAAATAAAAAATATATATCTAACTAGAATCATACAGTACTCTTTTTTCCTGGCTTCTTTCCGTCAGCATAATTATTTTGAGATTCGTCCACATGGATTTTGCACGTCCACGGTTTGTTCCAGGACGTTTCTGAGCAATGCTCTGTCCAGGCCTCTGTGTGGCTTTCGTGGTCCTGAGTCCCCCCCCGCTCCTCAGCTTTGGCCTCCAACCTGGAGTGGCAGCCCCTGGACACGTCTAAAGCACCCCTATCAGTGCTCTGTGGCTGACGGCCACACTCTGGGCACTCGCTCACCCGTGCACACTTCGGACGAACTTCTCCAACTGCCTCATGCAGGACCGGGCCTCAAAGTGCTTCACGCGCGGCTCCCCGTAGGCACCAATGTCGACGTAGAGCTCGGCCTCGTTTCCCTTGGGGTGCACCAGGCCCGGCTGGCTGGGCAGGATGAATGGGCACAGCCAGATGGGGTAGACCTGGGGGGCCAGGGAGGGCGTGTTGGTGCTTTTCCTCCCCCAGGAGGCAGGCTCTGCAGCACTCCCCTCTCTCTGCTGCTCACACGCCACCCTCACCCCGCGTCCCCGCTGAGCTCCCGGCCCGGCTCACGTGGATGTCGCTGTGGAAGGTGTGCAGGGCCTGCGGCAGGCATTTCATGGGCACCAGCATGTCCTGCACCACGTGGTGCTGCTCGTACAGCTTGCGCAGCGTCTCGCCCTGGGTCAGCTTCAGGAGGGAGATCTTGGGAGGCACCATCCAACCAAAGAGGTAGCGGAAGACGGGGTTGTTGCCAAAGGGGATGATGTCCTAAAAGACAAGGGTTGGGGATGGAGAGAAGGAACTCAGCAGGGCCCAGTGCCCCCACGTGCCAGGGGCTGGGTCCTCCTCTGGTACTGGACAGAAATGTGACGGGTCCACTCCTATCTGGGGGGGCGTGGTGGTACCCAGCCGGATCTGGGTTTGATTCCCAGCTCCGGCATTTATCAGCTATGATGTTGATCTTGGGCTGGGGACTTAACCTCCCTGAGCTCAGTTTCCTGATCTGCAAAATGGGGCTTGTGAGAATGAATGGTAAGATACCAAATGGAAGGCACTCAGCCCATTGCCTGAAGCAAAATGACAACGAAGCTATCGTTGCTGTTCTAGTTGCTGAGGTCAGTGTGGCCGGCACAGTGCAGGCACTCCATAAATGTTTGAGAATGCCGTTGAATGGCAAGAGGGATGGATACTCAGAGAGCTTAAGCAATTTCCCTAAGGTCACACCGCCAGAGACGGCTCCCACCGAGGTGGGGAAGGTCTCGCTCAGGTTCAACGATGAGCCCTTCGCTTTACAGCATATCCTGAGAGGCCTTCTCTGACGCCCCTATTAAAATGTCACTGCTTCCCACCCCTCCACACACACAAACAGCAAATTCTTGCTCACCTGTCAAGGCCAAGCTACCTTCAATCCTAGGCAGAGCTAGCCACTTTCTCTTGTTCCTGTGGCCCTGCACAGTGCGACCCCGCCTGCCTCCCCCAAGCTGGCCTCTTGGGAAACCCCCCTGAGCAGGGCTGTCCTTACTCTTCCACTCCTCAAACCTCCACAAGGGAGGAGCCCCCCATTCACGATCGTCCTCCCTGCCCCCAGTCTGCCGTCTTCCCGAGGGCTGCCAGCGTGCACCTGACACCCCATCCTCATAGCTCCTGGGCCCTCGAAGCCAAGGACATTCCTTCATTCGTTAGACAATGACGAGGTGCCTGTGTGCTCAGGTGCCAGGTTCTGTGCTGGGTGCTGGGGATACCCAGATCATTGAGACGTGGTCCCTGACCTCAGGTGTGAAGAGCTGCAACAGAGAGATGCAGAGGCAGCTCATAAAAGGGTCCACGTCAGACTAGGGTCAGTGGGGGCTGCCCAAAGAAGCCCCCATGCTAAGCTTCAGAGGCTGCATGACTCTTCCTCTCCCCTCCCCTCCCCTGGAATCATCTCCTCTGATCACCAGCCCACTCCCATGAGGGAGGGAGGGGCCTGTCTGCTCTCTTCTCTGTTAGATTCCGGCTCCTACACCAGTTCCTGGCTCACAACAGGAGCTCAGGAAATAGCGTGGCTTTTATTGTTCCCTTGGTTGTCCTTGGAAAAGCCACACAGGCCCATAGCAGAAATCCCCCCTCAAAGGCTAAGCCCTGATCCCATTTCCCTCACAGCCCTGACCACTCATCATTCCTCCTCCATCCCAATCTCTTTCCCCTCCACAAAGGCAACCATTCTTAGGAATTATTTGTGTACCCTTCTAGAGACATTTGATGCACAGACAAGTCCGTGAGCTTAAGAAAAACACAAGTCGCAAATGGCAGCGTCTACTAGCCTCCTGCGTATCACTGTATCCTGGTGTCAGCACACAGAGCGCTACTGCATTCTTTGTCCTGGATGTCTGACACTGTACAGACAGACCTCGTTTTATTGCACTTCTGATCTGTGATCAGTGATCTTTGATGTCACTACTCTGACTTGCTGACGGCTCAGATAATGGTTAGCATTTTTTAGCAATAAAGTATTTTTAAATTAAGGTATGCCCTTTTTTTTTTAGACATAATGCTAGTACCCACTTAATAGACCACACTATAGTGTAAACATAACATTTATATGCGGTGGGACAACACTGTAAAGCAATTATAGTCTAATAAAGATATTAAATTAAAAAATATATATATATATATATGCACTGGGAAACCAAAAAATTCGTGTAACTCACTTTATTGTGATATTTGCTTTACTGCAGTGGTCTGGAACCCAACATGCAATATCTCCAAGGTCACCCTTCACGGGGTGGGGCTGCAAAGTCCTAGCCCCCTGGCCTCAAGGTGGGACAGCCCTGGAGGGCCATCCAGCCCCAGAGCTCCCTGTGGGTTGGCTGAGGTCTTTGTTGTGGCTGCCTGACACCTCCGCTTTTCCCTCTGCCCGGCCCTGCTTCCCTTTCCTCTCGCAGTTGAGGATCGCCAGAGTTCTCCTGAACAAACTTCCTGTGCGCACATCTTGGTAGTAAAACACCCATCCTTCCAGATTCTTCCTTTAACTTCAGGCAGTACAGGCTAGAGTTTAACAGCACAAAAATAGAAGACAGACCTCATTTTGAAACCTAGCTCTGTGGTTTTAAAACCCATCCAGGAGTTCTCTGCTACTCCTTTCTTCAAGAGGTGGAGCTTAATTCCCCCCTCCTTGGGTGTGGGCCGGACTTGGTGACTCGCTCTAATAATAGAGTATGGTGGGAGTGGCGAGGTGACAAGACTGGGTGATGGAAGGCACTGAGGACTCCTCCTTGGTCTCTCTCTTGGATCACCGGCTCTGGGGGAAGCCAGCTGCCCTGCTGTGAGGACACTTGAGCAGCCCAGGTGGCAAGGAACGGAGGCCTCTTGTCAACAGCCACGTGAGGGACCCTTCCAGGAAGCAGATTCTCCAGCCCTACTAGAGCCTCCAGCACACCAGCCCTGCCGACACCTTGACTGCAGCCCTGAGCCAGAAACACCCACATCGTCGCTCTCCAATCCCTGAGCCTCGAAACTGGGCAGTTGTTTTAATCCTCACAATTTGGGGTTAATTCATTATGCAGCAATAGATAACCAATACACTCTTATCTCTTACTGAGTTGTGTTACTCTGGATAACCTAAACCAGTTTCTTCATCTGTTAAGTGGAAACAGCACTAGGACCTACCCTCACAGGGCTGTTAGGAAGACGGAGAGAATGCACGTAAAGTGTCTGGCCTAAGAACTAACATGTAAGGAGTGATTCGTGTTAATTGCTGGCCCCTCTTTCCTTTCCTGTCTCTTAAATATCCCTGCTCTTGACAAAACCACACCTCCCACATCCTTAACACTGCTCCTGGCAGGGATAAAGAGGGACTCGGGGGTCTTCTGCCTTTAGCAAAACTTTCCACCAAACGTTCTGGGCCTGGACACTGCTCAAAGGAGGACTAACAGGGATGGGGGAAGCCCAGAGCTCCCCAGGCCTTGATGAAACCTCTGCTGCCCACTCCTCCATCCCTTACCACTGCCCCGTCACATCCTGCCTGAGAGACCTAGCCCACGATTAGAAGTGACCCGACACCTCCTCCTAGGAGACCAGGTGTAATTCCTTCATGCCTGACATCCCTATTTATCTCAGTCACGGTGGACTTTTGGGTGCCTCCCACTAGCACCCTTGATGTGCTACAGCTATGCAATGTCTTTTAACCTGACCCCACTGGCCGCTGTTCCCCCATCTTCCAAACCCCTCCCCTGTGCTCTCTCACGGTCTAAACAGCAGCAACTCCCCTCCATCCTCAAGCTCTTCTCTCGACCGTCGTGTCCTCTCCTTGCTCTTAGCTGGTACCTGGCTGGCCCCTGCAGCCCTCCGAGGCGGTATCATTTTCTCTCCATGACCCTCTGGGGTAGATGGAGGTGAGGTGGGCTCCTCATTACTGCTTCTAGGTCTCTGCCCCTCCCATTCCCTGAAAACCCTCAGCAGCTTTGCAGCCACCTGCCCATCATCTCCACCCCCATCATCTCCCTCGTTCCCAGATCACTACCACCTTCTTCAACACTCATCTTATCACTGATGTGATTTAATATCCACCTCTATGATCTTTCCCACGCCCCAGCCTCCTCTCTGTCCTCCAGCGATCTTACCTTCCACCTGGCCTCTGCCCTGACTCTCATGTCACACTCCAGAGCAGGGGATGACGAACTACAGCCCGTGGGAGTCGGTCTGCAAGTGGATCCAGCCTGCTGGCCAATCTGGGCCACTGCCTGTGTTTATACATAGTATCACTGGAGCACAGCCATGCACGTTTGTTTGTGCACTGCCTGTGGCTGCTTTTGCGCTACAAGGGCAGCGCTGAGCAGCTGCGACAGGACGTATGACCCGCAGAACCTAAAGCTTTTGCTATTTGGCCCTTTAAGAAAGTTTGCTGACCTCTCGATGCTGTCCTATTGTCTGTATTCATTGCCTCTGCTGACGTGGAAAAAGAAAAAGCATGTCAGAGCTGTGAGCTGAGTTTATTCAGTGTCTCACCGACTATAGCCTGGGAGACCCGCTCTCCAACAGCTCTGAGAAACCGTTCCGAAGAGGTAAAGGCCAGAGCAGTATGTATGTGATTTTGGCGAAGCGTACATGTAATCAGGCACTGGTCTCGGTCGAAGGTTGTTGCTAGTTATGAGGAACAGCCGTCTTATTAATGGTTTTGGTACTTTTCTAAGTATGGGAAGATCCAAGAATTGGGGTTCATAAAATTTTCTCCTCAAAATATCTACCTATCTGAAGGCTGTCTTTATCTGCCAGTTTTCCCATAGCACAGAGTGCCTCATTACTGACCTTTGCCCTGAATTCCTTTCAGGGGGTGTTGACGGCAAGGCCTAATGACTTCATTCCTGCAGAACTGGATGGTAGGCAACATTCTTCATTTGGCATCTCCATAGTTTCAACTCCAAGCGTTCGCCCTCTGGCCACCACTAACTCTCCTTCCTGCTGCCCATGCCCTCCAGTGCTCTGACGTCAATTCTTCACCCCAAGGGGCACCTAGGCCACCATATCAGTCCCTTCAGCCCCGCATATCCTCACTGCCCTGCCTCAGCTGGCTCGGATTTCATCCTGATCACGTCCTGGCTTTTCCAACCCTGCCCCACTTGTCATACTCATTTGCAAAACCTCAACCGTGGTTAAATCTAACTTTCTCCCTATGCTGTACCCCGTCCACAGAGCTGAACGTGTGAAAATCCACAACCACCAGGGATGGTCTCACTGTAAACTCGTGGTCATGAATCTTCGGCAGGCCCAGTGCTGCCCAGCAATCCTATGACATTTCCCCAGTTAATTCATTCCCACTCTCCAAGGGACAATTTCCCATCTCCTCTCTCCTCAGTCCTTCAACAACCCCTCACCCCCTCATCTCAGCTAAAATCCTTGCTTCCTATCTCACTGAGAAAACAAAAGAACTCCCACACCCTCCCACCACCAAATGGTCCTCCTGTTTGTAGCAACTGTTCCATTAACACTTCCTCCCTCCTGTCCAGTGGGTGAATCTCCGTGCTCTCACCTAAAGGCAACCTCTCCACCTGAGCACAGGATCCATCCATCCTCAAGGTTCACCCTGCGAGCACACCCTCTCCCCTGCACTGCCAGCACGTCAACATGCAGTAACCTCTCCCTTCTTGAAAGTCACACATGGACTTCCCTGGCGGTCCAGTGGTTAACACTCTGCACTTCCACTGCAGGGGGCACGGGTTTGATCCCTGGTTGGGGAACTAAGATCCCATGTGCCGTGCGGCACAGCCCAAAAAAAAATCAAAATAAAAAATAAAACAGTCACACAAAATATTTCCTCTCGATCCTACATCCCCCTCTGGCTCCCACCCTACTTTTCTGCTTTCCCTTATACTGAGCCTTCTCAGATTTCCATTTTCACTGTCTCCACTTCCCTGTCTCTGTTTTCTCTCAAACCCACGTCAGGCTTTCAGCCCCATGGCTCAAGGTCATGAGTGACCTTCTCACGACTAAGACCAGGGGTCGATGCTTTGTCGTCATCTCACGCAGGGGCATTTGACACAGCTGTTCATCTTCCTTCTTGACACACTGTCCTCAGGTAGCTTCCGGGATGCCAGTCCTCCTGGGTTTCTCCTCCCCTCGGGCTGACGGCGTCTTCTCCTCTCCTGGCTGCTTCCTCCTCCCTCAACTTGCAGGGCTTGGCTCTGGGACTTCTCTTCTCTAACCTCCCTCACTCATCTAGTCTCACGGTGTTAATTAACATTTCTCTGCTGATGACACCCACAGTGATATGGATTTCTTCGACCTCTGCCCTGAAGATCTGACATATGTGCCAGCTGCCCACTCAACATCCCACCTGGATGTCTGAAAAGCATCTCACGCTGACATGTCCCAAACCAAACTTCTGATTTTCCTTCCCAGACCCCTCACCCATGTTGTCCATAGCAGTCAATGGCACCTGGGGTCACCCAGTTGCTTGGGTCCCTAACCTTGGAATCACACCCAAGGGCAATCTGTGGGAAATCCCGTTGGTTGGTTCAACCTTCACAGCACCTCCCAGATCTGAGACCCCTTTCCTCCTCCACCGCTACCACCCTGGACGACACAATCTTCTTTCTTCCACTCTCCCACTCCTGCCACCTCCACCCCGTCCACTCTCCACCTAGCTGTCAAAATTATCCTTTTAAAACAAACATCAGGTCATGTCACTTTTCTGCACCAAGTCCTCCACTGGCTTCCTTACCACACAAGGTAAAACATAAAGTCCTCCCCTGACCTACAAGGACCCACATGATCTAGGCCATGGCTGCTGTCTGACAGCATTCTCCACCATGGGTCTAGCTCAAGGGCCTTCTTGCTGTCTTCAGAAACACGCAGCCTTGCTGTGACAACCTGCACCTTGCTGTGATGCAAAAGAATGGAGTTGGATCCCCACCTCACGCCATATACAAAACTTAACTTAAAATGGATCAAGAACCTACATATAAGAGCTAAAACCATAAAGCTTTTAGAAGATAAGGCAGGAAGAAATCTTTGTGACTTTGGGATTTAGCAATGGATTCTTAGATACGACACTAAAAGCACGAGTAACTAAAGAAAAAATAGATCAACTGGACTTCATCAAAACCAAAAACTTTTGTGAATCAAAAGACATTATCGGGACTTCCCTGGCGGTCCAGTGGTTAAGACTTCACCTTCCAATACAGGGGGTGTGGGTTCCATCCCTGGTCGGGGAGTAAGACCCCACATGCCTCACGGCCAAACAACCGAAACAGAAGCAATACTGTAACAAATTCAATAAAGACTTTAAGAATGGTCCACATCAAAAAAAATCTAAAAAAACAAAAGACACTATCAAGGAAGTGAAAGACAACCTACAGATTGAGAGGAAATATTTGCAAATCATGTATTTGATAAGGGTCTAATATCCAGACTATATATAGAACTCTTACAACTCAACAACAAAGATCAATAACTCAATTAAAATTGGGCAAAATTGCACTTCTCCAAGAAGTATCCAAATGGCCAACAGGCACATGGAAGGATACTGAACATCGCTAGTCATTAGGAAAATGCAAATCAGAATCACAGTGCGATTCCACTTCTTACCCACTAGGATAGCTATCGCAAAAAACCAGAAAACAACAAGTGCTGGTGAGAATGTAGAGAAACTGGAACCTACACATGCTGCTGTTGAGAATGTAAAATGGCTCGGCCACCATGGAAAACGTCTGGCGCTTCCTCAATAGGTTACACACAGAATCATCACACGACCCAGCAGTTCCACTCCTAGGCATGTATCCTCCCAAACTGAAAACTAGTACCCAAACAAATTCTCGTACATGAATGTTTGCAGCAGCACTGTTCACAATGCCGACAGGTGGAAACAACTCAAACGTCCACCAGCGGGTGAGTGGAAAAACAAACTGTGGTCCAGCCACACAATGGAGAATTATTCAGCCACGAAAACGAATGATGTGCTGATACGTGCTACAGCGTGGATGAACCTTGAAAACAGGCTTAGTGACAGAAGCCGGGCGCAAAAGGCCACATGGTGTATGATTCCATTTAAATAAAATGTCTAGAATAGGTAAATCCACAGAGACAGAAGGCAAGACTGATGGTTGCCAGAGTCTGGGGAAAGGGAATGGGGAGTAACTGCTTAATGGGTGCAGGATTTCCTCCTAGGGCGATGAAAATATTTTGAAAGTAGATATAGTGGACACACAACATCATGAATGTACCAAATTACCACTGAACTGTACACGTTAAGATGTTTAATTTTATGTTTTCACTTCAATTAAAAAAAAGAAATAAAAAGCTACCCACTCAGCCCATCTGAGGACCTGTGCTCTGGCTCCTCCTCTGCCTGGCGTGTCCTCCCTATGTTCAGGTCCCGCTCACAAGGCATCGTCTGAGAGGCCTTCCCTGGCGACTTATTTAAAATGTCACTGCTCCCCGTCGCTCATCACACAACAGCAAATTCCTGCTCACACATCAAGGCCACGCTTGACAGCTACCTCCAGCCCTGGGCAGGACCAGCCACTTCCTCTTCTCAGGCCGCAGTCTGTCTGCTCGGCTGGGCTACAGCTCCTCAAGGACAGAACAGGTATGTGCTCCCCAAAGCACGGGGCCCCGCGCCCCACCTTCTGGCACAGGCAGGTGTGTGGGGAGAGCCCGCTGCTTTAAGGCAGTGGCCGCTCCTGAAGAAGGAAGCACTGTGCTGCCGGGTAAGAGGCTGTTCTGGTCCCTAGGACAAAGCCACTCTTTTCCCCCAAGGGAGGGGAAACCATCCTGGGTGCCAGCCTGGCCAGGAGCCAGGACTACCAGGAAATCCTAGCCTCACCTGGAGCTCCCAGAAGATGCTGCGCGTGTGGCGGTGGTAGTAGTGTCTCAAGGGGATGTACTCCAGGCCCTCGCGCTTTGTCTTCAGGTAGTTCTCCACGTGCTTGAAGAACCAGGGCTTGTAGTAGTTGCCAATGCTATTCAGCTGCAATGACAAGAGGGCACTGTGTCAGGCCACAGGCAAGCCCCAAAGCCATCGGGGCGTAACAGTGATACCCAGCTTCTGTTCAGCACTCCTGGCCTCTCCAGAGCTCTTTCATGTCTAGTATTGCCTTGGAGGCTCTTGAAAGCCGGGCGAGGTTACTAAGTAGAGCCGGCATTCTCTAGCAGAGAGAGCAGAAGCTCACAGAGGTTAAGTGGTGAGCCCTGGGCCCAACAGCGAACTCCTGTCAGGCTCGAGAGCTCAGCCAGCTACTCCTCCTCGGTGAGAGAACTGAAGCGCCGATGTCTGTCGCCGTCGGCCACAGTGCAGCGCTCCATACAGGCATGTTCCTCCCCACCTCCCTCCCACGAGGCCAGCGTCGGCACGAACACGGAGCGTGGGTCATCCTCCCCACTGGGTCCCACAGCCGACAGCACTAACTGACCACGTTGCTCTCCCTGCTGCCCTGGACCAAGCTCCACATCCTCTGGCCACAGCGCTCCCCCCAACGCAGCCACCATCAACGGAGGAAGCTCACAGTAAAGCTACCGTCTTCCCTGGCACTGGGCCCCGTGGTCTCCAAGCCTAAATCATATATTTAGCTGGTGTTTTCTTCAGCCCTAAATGATTCAGGACTCTATCTACTGTGTGCCCTGGGATGACTTAGCTTCTCTGAGCCTCAGCTTCCTCACCCGTGAAAGGAACTGTGGGCCGATGCTTTTGAGACAGGCAGGGCAGCAACCCGGAAGGGTCATGGGCTTCAGGTTGGGCGGCTGAGGCCAGACCCTGGCTGTCACCCACTAGCTGTGTGACCTGGCGCAGGACACTCTGAGCTTGTTTCTTCATGTGTAAAATGGCAATAAAAATAAATACTTTGTGGGAGATTTCTGTGACTATTAGAAATTACATACACACACACTGCAGACGCTCGGGCCCATGTCATACCAGCTTCTCTTAGGGTGGGAGAGGCACCCGAGTTTTATGGGGCAGGTGAGATCACACCCAGCAAAGGGACAGGAGGAAGCAGAGAGTGGAGGCCGCGTAGGAGAGGTAGAATGTTGCCAGGGGACCATCAGGGAGGGAAAGACAGGAGCAGAGGCAAGAAGTAAGCAAGCCCAGGGTGGCTGGAGAATAATCGCAGCATGGGCTAAGCGCCCACACTCCAGGGAGGCAGGACCAGCACCTGAGTATTCACTCTTTGTCCCCTCCATGACTTTGCATACATTCATTATCTCTTCCATGACCTTGCACACATTCCTTCTTTATCTCCTCCACGACCTTGCACAGCAGGGCTGTCCCTGCTTCACTAACCAGGAGAAAGAATCATCAAGGTTGAAGGGACTACCCGAGGTCACAAGGCTGGCAAGAGGCAAGGACTCAAGCACATTCCATGTTGCAAAAGAAGGCCAAGGCGGACGGCAAAGAACCTTGAATGGTGGGTTCTGGAATGTGGGCATTATAAAAAAAAAAAAAAAAAAACTATTAATTTTTTTCCTGATTCTAAAAGCAACGTACGCTCCTTGTGAAAACTTCAGACACTGCAGTTATGTGTAACCTGAGAGATGCCCCTGCAGCCTCACCCTCCAGAGGGAACTACTAAAAACCGATGTGTATTCATTAGGTTTTATTTTCACACACACACAGATTTATATAAATGGGACTGCCGTGTGCCTACTGTTTACTGATCTGCTGTCTCCACTTATAATGCACTAGGCTGATCCTGGCAGGTTATTTAGCCTCTCTGAGCCTCATTTTCAGTACAGGCAAAATGGTTAGAGACACTACAAGAGATAAGGCAGGAAGAGCCAAGCACAGGGCCTGCCCACAGCAGGGGCACAGTATTCAGTTCCCGGCCCTCTCACTGCACCCAGCCCCTCAGCAGCTCCCTCCACCCTGGAGCCAGGCAACCTCTGCCCTCCACCTCTGGCAGCCAACACTTGCAGCCCATCTGGGGGTCACCGCTGTGTGCAGGCCACTCTGCTGCTAGGCCACTCTGCAGTGGGGAAACCAGGCCACAAAGTACCAGGAACCGGGCTAAAGAGCCTGCCTGTCCAAGTCAGTTAGAGCGTGGAAAGTGCGGGGCAGGGCAGAAGTCACCATAGGCTGGCCTCCACCTGCGAATGCAAAGGGGAGTCAGATCCAACAGGAACAGAGCAGCTTGATCTAACCCCAGGTGGACCTGGTCACACACCGGCAGAGGCACCAGCTGCGTGATGAACCCGAGACTCGGGGGTACCTGCACTCCCGGTGTTCGTGGACTCATCGGTAACTCTTTGTGCCAGAGAAGCCCGGGACATGATAAAGAACCTGGATGGTACATCTCTCCTGGGGCACACGGCGGCCGTGGCAGCCAAGAGGCGGCAGGAGTTCCAGTTCCAGCCCAGGAACTTAGATAACAAGCCACTTCCTATCTCTGGGCTCCCCTGTAAAACAGGGGTGGCTGCCTTCCCCCAGGGTGGACAGTGCCTGGGCACGCAGGGACAAACGCCCGAGCAGCCTGCTGAACAGGCATGTTTGGGAGAAATGCTCTTCAGATGAAACACGCACATGCCTCTGGCACCCATCACTCTCCCCCGGCCCCAGGCCCCGTTCTCATCTGGCATCGTGGGAACACTTTGCAAAAGTCTATGGCCCGAGGCCCGGCCCCTCTGCCACCGATACCAGGCAAGCCTCTGGGGAAAACCTTGGTCTTCCTGGGAAATAAGGGAACTGGTCAGAGTGTTCAAACGATTTAAAAGCTGTACAATCCCTTTTGCCCAACTGCAACCTTAGGTGGTACCTAATACATCAAAGAGATGACTTTCAGTACAAAGCGGGTGGTGATACCCCTTGGTCCCGGCCCTTAGCTTACCACCACTGGCAGCCTCCAGAGGAACATCTCAGACGAGGTGGAAAACCTCTGGATGAGACCTCCTTGCCAGGTGACTAGGTTCTGAGTGACACACTGCCTGGCCTTTGGCCCGACCTGAGCTCAGGCAGAGCCAGGGTCCGGGGACACCAGAACATTTGGGCTCAGTGTCTGAAGCCCCACTCCTTCTCCAGGATCTCCATCCTCCAGTGCTCACTAGTGTCCCATAAAGAATGGTGCTCGATCAAAGTCTGCAGATGATGACAAATTCTAGAAGCTGGTATGGCGGGAAATAAACACCCAACCAGGAGTCAGGGACCCAAACTTAAATCTGCCCCATGCTTGCCGTGGGTCTTCAGAGGAGCCTCTTTCCCCTTCTGGGCCTCCGTTCCTTATTTGGAGAGGGAATTGTATCAAATGATTTTTGAGTCCTTTTGGATTTTAAAATGCTTTAAGTATATAGGGATAGATCAAGAGCCTTAAAAGTGCCTATCCTTTGTTGTACTAATTCTACTTGAAGGTATTATTCAAATTATAGACAAAAGATGTCCACTGCTACATTAATTAAAATAATGAAAACCAGGGTGCCACTTTAATTTCCAACTATGGGGCAGTGGTTTAGTAGAGGATAGGGCATTTGCTCACTGCAATGTTTCTGTAGTCATTAAACATGAAGGTAATGTAACGATATGTAGAAATGCTTATTGCACTAAACCAGAAACTACAAATTTGAACTGGTGATCACAGCTGAAGACAAACAAACCGAAACACTGTGCAAAGAGATGGTAACCTTGAAAGTACCTGAGAACTGCAAAATAAGACGAGCTACTATTTTTAACCCTATCAGATTGGCAAAAATGAAAGAGTGATGCTATCCAGCACTGGCAAGAACGTGGGGGAAAGGTATTCTCACACACCACTGCGTCGCTGGAAGTGGACAGAAGCACACATTTCTGGCGGGTCACTTCTGGCAGAAGCACACATTTCTGTGGTCATGTCTATCAATATTTAATATATTCAAACCCCTGGGTCAGGCATTCCTTTTTTTGGACTCAATCCTACAGAAATGCATGTACAAGAGGCCAAGGATAGATGCGAGAGAATCTTCAATGCAATATTATGTGTAAGAGCAAAACATTTTAAGCAAAATAAATGCTCATCGGGAAGCAATGAGTTAGGCTAATTACAGGCAACAACAGAAAGCACGGGATAAAACGAGGGCACGGGCATGTACACACGCCTACATGTGCATGCACACACACAGGCCTTGAAGAGTGCAGTGTTACAAGTGGTTACCCTGGGAGCATGCTTGGGTGAAGAGATGCACTTTAACTTTTTCTTTATATATTTCAACATTGTTGTACTACTTTTGTAAAAGCTTTAAAAACATCTGTGCATCGAAAGGAGAGGAAATAAATCTATCAAACACATTAGCAAGAGCCGGATTGGGTCATATTTATAGGTGGAGTCTCTTCTTTCCTTTTACTTCGGTACACTTTCCCAGCCTCCCATAATAAGCACAAATCCTTTCTCAATGGAGAAAGAACGGCTATTAAACATTACACAGTGTACGCTGAAGGGGTGTGAATCTGAGGCATCAAACCAATTACTCAAATCTTGGCTTTGTCGTCTTGTAGAAGTTTACATGGCCTCTTGGAGCCCTGGTTTCTTCATCTATAAAATGGGGTTACCGTGAGGATCAAAGATTACGCCTATCAAGAGACACACACGTTACCTGGCAGATGGTAGGGGCAGAGTAAATGGATACTTTGGTCACAGCCTAAGACGGCGGACTACAGATCCTGCTGCCCAGGTGGGCTGACCCAGGTCGCAGCCTCAAAGAGCGTGGCTGCCAGGGTTAGGGTGGGGAATCAGGCTCTATCCCAGCCCATCCAGGCCCTCCTCCTCCGGGCCTACCTTGCCAGGCTCGGCCTCATCCGTCATGACACCCGTCATGATTACAGCTTCCTCCAGGGAGTAGAGCAGCCCTTCCACGAAGTGGTTCTCCTGCCGCTGGGACTCACGGGTGAACCTGTCACAGATGGCCTCCAGGCCGCACACCGGCTCAAACCGCAGCTTGACGTACTTCTTGGCGGGGATGATGCGGATTTCGGCGGCCACCAGGAAGCCCAGGGTCCCGCAGGACCAGGGCACAGCGTAGAACAGGTCCGAGTTTTCCGACTGTGAGGCGGAGTGGACACATGCTGAATGTTTGACCCCCAAACCCCGCGCTGCAGCGAGTCATCAGCGGGGCGCAGAGGACCTGGGGCCTGGGCTAAATCCCTGTCCTGGCACTATCTGTGTCAACCTGAACAAGGACCTCGCCACTGCACTTTCTGGGCCTCAGTCCTCCCCCTGCAGCTTCAGCATGACATTTGACCTTACACTGCCCTCTGTATCAGGGATGCTCAGGGAGAGTGCATCCTCTCTCCTCCACCTGGGCACAGCCCCTGGACCACAGGCTACCCAGGAAGAGGCCAGGACCAGCTCTGCCCGGAGTCCTAAAATGAGGGACCAAGGGCCAGGGGTCCCAGGCCAGGCTAGAGAGAGATGAACCCTTAATGAGGGTCAAGGTAGCCAGGGGACATTAAAATGGGCCATTACTGAAACTTACAAAGCCTTTTCCGTTCCATTAGCTGTGAATCCCCCCCTCCCCAACCACAGTCCAGGGAGAGCAGTAACATTCCTGCTTGAATGGGTAAGGAGAGGGAGGCTCCAAGAGGTGACAATGGCTCACCCAAGGCTTCCCCCCAATTCAGTGGAGCAATGTCGGGCTCAGGCAAGGCCGCCTGACACCTGATCCAGCAATCCTCCTTCTAACCTCATGATTTTCTTGTTTTGGTATTTGTCTTGGAGACAAACAACTTTTCACCTGGCTGTTCTAAGGCAGCTTCTTTGATTCTAATAAAGCTCCTTGTGAAGAAGTCTAGCCTTGTCCAGGCTTTATGGAGAGGACAGTCCTGTGTGGTCTCTGCTCACGCTGAACGCCCTTGGTGCTGGTGTGGTGGGTGCAGCAAGGTGGTGGGGTGAGGGCCATGCTGGAGCAGGGGAGCTCTGCAGCAGGCTGGCAGAAGTCTCTGCAACAGCAGACATGGGCCACCCGATGCCCATCTGGGCCACCGCCTGATCACACTGTCAGCTCATTGCAGTAATAAGCAGGTGTCTGCCGCACACCCGGCTCTGGGCTAGGAGCTTAACATACGGCATCTATGTTCTCCTCCTGGCAACGCATTTGCCAGATTAGGAAACTGGACCTCAGAGAAGGGAAGTAATTCATGAATGCCTGTCTCCTTTCTCTGCTCATAATAAACAGGTTAGAAGGCAGGGCCCAGCGAGCGTTTCGGGAAACATGCTGAACTGGTGTGAATCCTGAAAGAGGTCTATCTCGTCCAGACCAGAGCTCTCAAGCCTGGAGTCCTGCCCTGGACTCTGTGAGGCCAACAACTCTGGCGGCTCTCAGAAACATTCACTTCTAAAGGATCACTCTGTTCCTCCCATCCCAGGGGCTCCTTAGATATGCTCAGTGAGATCTGAGTTTATTTAAAGTTTCAATCTGTCCTGCTCCGTAACTGTTTGCATCCTACTTTGGGCCGTGGAATTGCCTTTTATTTCTCCAAAACAGCCCCTCTTATTACTGTTGGTTACACCTCAGCCACTGGCATAGAATGTTGATGCATGGGCCTGACTTCAAGACAGTATGGTAACATGAATTGCTAAGGGCATTGACTTGGGAGCCTGATAAGCTGGGTTTGAATCCCAGCCGTGTGGGATTTACTAGCTGTGTGATCTTGGGCAAGTTTATTAACTTCTCTGTGCTTTAGTTTACTATCTGTAAAATGTGTCTAATAATAGTATCCACCTCATAAAGTTGTTTAACAATTAAATGCCTTAATATACATGAGGCATTTACAACAGTATCTGAACACATATCGGGGCTACATAAATCTCTGTTATTATTATGGATACAGACCCAGACTGGACAGGTGTATTTGAAACGAAGCACCCCCAGCGGAGCCACCTCCCAGGGGTCCTTAATGCCCAGAGCAGGCTGGTGGGGGCATCCCCCATCTCTGAACTCACCGGTGTGCATCGCACAAAGCTGCCATCGGCCAGGACCAGCTCGTAGGCAGTGCAGATGTGCTGGAACAGGCCATACTTGTGGGATGAAGACTCGATGCCTGTGCCCATGATCAATCCTCCTGCAGAGACATGTGCATTAGCCAGGCAGAACTGGAAGGGGGTTGGGGAGAGCTGGGAAAAGGACACCTTGCTGGAGCTGGGGAAACTCAGAGCATGAAGGAGGCATGACAGGGCTGGCAGATCTTAGGGGAGATTTCCCATCTCTATGGATGTAGAGGGCAGGAGAGAGAAGGAGGGCCTAAGATGTGGGCATGAGGGCTTGCTTAGAGGTGGAAGATGGGTGGGAGACCCCGTCAAGGGCGCTCACGTCATCACCTCTGGCCAGACACAACCTAGAAACCTGTGCATTCATTTATTTCAACAGGACATTGATGAAAGGAGGGTTGGTTGGGTGGGGGAAGCCGTGTCCCTTGGGAACAGTTAAAGGACCTGAAGGTGTTTCCCCTGGAGAAGAAAGGCTCTGGGACCTTGAATCCTACAGAAGGAGAGACTAGACTTATTCTGTGTGTTCCACGGGGCAGAAAGGGAGCAATGGATGCAAGTCACAGGGAAGCAGGTTCCAAACAGCAATTGAAAAGTGCATTCTGATAACGTAAGCTGTTCAGACATGGACTGACAGGCAGTGAGTGCCCTGTCTTTGGTGCTGGACGAGCAGACAGGGTGACATCCATCACAGATGGGACAGTGGTGACTCCTGGACCTGATGGAAGGTGGGCCGAGGTTCCTCAGCTCTGACGCTAGGACTGAGTTCTCACCCACTGTGAGGTCATCCAACTCGGGCAGCACAGGCAGAGTCCAGCCAATGGAGGTCAGCAGGGCAGTCACCTGACCCATGGTCACCAAGGGCTCCACGCGGACAATCTGCTGACACAGAAGAGAGACCCTGGGTCACAAGGAGGCTGCCAGGCCTAACGGGGGCTTCTGTCTGCAGAAGGTGTTATCCCAGACCTTCCCAAACAATCAACATGGGGATTCCTATATGGGCTTTAGAGCCTCTTTCCAGAGCATTCCACCACCTTTAGTTACAGTGAATGGGGTTTCTGGTGCTGGGTTAGATAGTGTTTAATCTTGTTCTTTCAAACACCTTTAGATTTAATACTTAGTTTATTTTTCTTCTAGAAGAAGAAATACTCATTTATTTGGAAGAAACAGCATATACGAAGAAGACAAAAATCATTAATCCTAGTTCTTCGAAGTTATCAATGTTAATACTGGAGTATATCTCCTTTTAGTCTTTTCCCATGCATATCTATATTACTACTTTTATGTTTTAATACAACACACACACACACACACACACACACACACACACCAATGCAAACACACATAACACAGACTTTTTAAAAAAAATTTAATGCTATACTGTGACATGATCCCTTGTCATTAAATGCTCCTGGAAAACATGATTTTTGTTCAAAGGACAGGGCAATATTAATTCAGTATCTGGCATCATTGGTTTTCTTGGCTTTGTGCATGTTAGACCTGGTATTTCTACCGATACAGCATTCCTATAGTTTCTCAAACTGTTCAATTTGACATAATCTTCAATAGGAACTAATGCTTCTCTTTTTCTGGGGTGTGTAAAATTCAGAACCAGGAAGATTCATCCCCTCTGACCCTAAACACGGTCCTAAAGTAAACTGCTTGGGGAAATTGGATCCCCAAGATTACAGGTGGGGAATTTTGTAGTGTGTCCATATTCCACTGTAGATCAAAGAAGCCCAACTAAAAGAATTGCGGACTGACTGACAAGACAACTGTGTATTGAGCAAAAATTCTTTTTGAAAGGGCTATCTTGAAGATTATGACCCAAATATTGGAGGAACTGAGGTGACCGGCAGTAGAAGGAAATCCTTAAAAATTTATTGACTTAAATAATTTTGCCTATGTTACACATAATAAAAAAATAAACAAAAAACTTTTGCACTTAAAAAAAAACATGATTTTTAATGGACACACGAATATGCCATCAGGAGGACTTCTGCTTTCAGTCAAGATGGAGCGAAAAGAACCAGTTTAACCTGCTGCCTGGAGAAAAAAAGGACAAAATATATGAAACAGGAGTTTTCAACACAGTAAACATCAGGCAGGGAAGTTAATGATTGCTGACAGGAAACAAACAGGGTGAGCTCTATGAATGCCCCAGCTAAATGCCTGGAGTTAGGCGGTGCAGGAAGGGAGAGCCCAGTGCACTCTGAGTCGAGAGCCCTAGAAGACCAAGGTGAACAGAGTCTGCAGGACAGAGTACTGGAGAGGAGAGAACTGCAGAGAGAAAACTCTGAAGTACTGCGAAGAGTGCCCGTTGAGTATTCAACTGAGGACTGATTGGTGCGTACACAGGACGAAATTACCAGAGGCTGACGCCAGGGGAAGAGCCTGGCAGGTAACAGTGCCAGGGGCTCACACAGGGCAGGAAATAGTATCTGTTCCCACAAGCCAGACTGGAAAACTTCATGACTCCCAGGGCACTGGGTAGAGTACTCAGAATATTCTTGCCTGAGCAGCGGGGAATAATTGCCCCTAGATTACATGCTGCTCCAGCCCCACCTGAAAAATCAACACCAAACAGGATCAAATTGTTTCTCACTAACTCGGCTCTATCTTAGAACGAAGGTCTTACAGGTCTACTAAGGTCTACAGGGGTACAAAAATATCTAGCGCCCCACACAAGGTAAACTTCATGATGCCTGGGATCCAATCAAAGTTCACCAGGCATGCAAAGAGGCGGGAAGATTCAACCCATAATGAGGAGAATAATCAATCAATGTGTTTTGATAAAACAGACCCAGAATTGACACAGATATTAAAATCAGCAAACAAGGATATTAAAATAATTATTGATACTGTATTCCCTATGTTCAGAACGTTAAGTACAGACATTTAAAAGGCAGTAAAAGGATCCAAAGCAAACTTCTAGAAATGAAAACCACAATGTTAGAGATGAAAAATACACTGGTTGGAACCGACAGCAAATTAGACACTGCAGAAGAAGAGTGATGAATTTAAATACACAGCAATAGAAACTATCCAAGATGAAACACACAGAGGAAAAAACCTTTAATGAACAGCATATCAGTGAGCTGAGCTGTGGAACTACCTCAAGTGGCCCAACATATGTGTAACAGCAGTCCTCAAAGGAGAGAGAGGAAGGGAAAGAAAAATATTTGAAGAAATAATGACCCCCAAAATTTCAAATCTGATGAAAAATTATATGACTCCCGAGCACAAGAATTATGAAGAAAACTATACCACAGCACATTGTAATAATTGCTCAAAACTAGTTATAAAGATAAAATCTTAAAAGCAGCCAGAGGAAAAAGATAAGTTACATACAGAGGAACAAAGATAAGGATGAGAGATTTCTTGTTAGAAATAACGCAAGCAAGAAGACACTGGAGGGCTTCCCTGGTGGTGCAGTGGTTGAGAATCTGCCTGGCAACACAGGGGACACAGGTTCACGCCCTGGTCCGGGAAGATCCCACATGCCACAGAGCAACTAAGCCCGTGCACCACAACTACTGAGCCTGCGCTCTAGAGCCCAGGAGCCACAACTACTGAGCCTGTGTACCACAACTACTGAAGCCCACGCACCTAGAGCCCGTGCTCCGCAACAAGAGAAGCCACCACAATGAGAAGCCCTCGTACTGCAACGAAGAGTAGCCCCTGCTCGCAACTAGAGAAAGCCCGCACGCAGCAACAAAGACTCGACGCAGCCAAAAATAAAATAAATAAATAAATTTATTAAAAAAAAAAAAGACACTGGAGCATCTTTAAAGTACTGAAGGAAAAAAACTGTCAACCTGGAGTTCCATGACCACTGAAAATATCTTTCAAAAATGAAGGCAGGGCTTCCCTGGTGGCACAGAGGTTGAGAGTCCGCCTACCGATGCAGGGGACACGGGTTCGTGCCCCGGTCCGGGAAGATCCCACATGCCACAGAGCGGCTGGGCCGGTGAGCCATGGCCGCTGAGCCTGCACGTCCGGAGCCTGTGCTCTGCAACAGGAGAGGCCACAACAGTGAGAGGTCCGTGGACCGCAAAAGAAAATAATAATAAATAAAAAATTATAATAATAATAAAAGAATAAAAGATGTTGTAAAATCTCTATATGATTAAAATACAAAAAATTAAAAAAAAAAAAAATGAAGGCAACCTCATACCCATTAGGATGGCTATTATTAAAAACAAAACAAAACCAGAAAATAACAAGTGTTGGTGAGGATTTGGAAAAATTAAAACCCTTGTGCACTGTTGGTGGGGATGTTAAAATGGTGCAGCCACTATGCAAAACAGTATGGCTGTTCCTCAAAAAATTAAAACTACCATGTGATCCAGCAATTCCACTTCTGGGTATATACCCAAAATAATTGAAAGCAGCATCTTGAAATGCTATGTGTACACCCATGTTCATAGCAGCATTATTCACAATGGCTAAAACATAGAAGCAGCCCAAGTGTCCATGGATGAATGAGTGGATAAGCAAAATGTGGTATGTACATACAATGGAATCTTATTCAGCCTTAAATAGGAAGAAAATTCTGCAATATGCTACAACATGGATGAACCTTGAAGACATTATGCTAAGTCAAATAAGCCAGTCACAAAAAGACAAATACTGTATGATTCCATTTACATGAGTTACTTAGAGTGGTTAACATCATAGAAACAGATAGTAGAATATGGTTGCCAGGGTCTGGGGGGAGGGGAGAATGGGGAGTTATTGTTTAATGGATATAGAGTTTCAGTTTTACAAGAAGAAAAGAGTCATGGGGATGGGTGGTGGTGATGGCTGAATGACAAGGTGAATATATTTAATACCACTGAACTGCACACTTAAAAGTGGTTAAGATGGTAATTGTTATGTGTATCTTACCACAACACAAGTTGGAAAAGAAATGAAGACAAATAAATTATTTCAGACATACAACAGCTGAAAGATTCATCACCAGCAAAATCACCATATAAGAAATGTCAAAGGAGGTTCTTCAGGCAGAAGGAAAATGAAACAGATGGAAATACAAATTTACAAAATGGAATGAAGAAATGGTAACTATATGGGTAAGTATATAAGATTTTTCTTATTATTTAAATTTCTTTAAAAGATAACTAGTAGTGTGGGGTTTATAACATATATAAAAGCAAAAGGAGGATAGCAACAGCACAAAGGTGGAAAGAAGAGAAATGGAAGCATATTATTCTAAGATTCTTATACTGTACATGAAATGGGATACCATCACTTGAAGGTAGAGTGTGACAAGGAAAGTGTATACCATAAATCCTAAAACAACTGCTAAAATAACAAAACAAAGGCTTATAGCTAGTAAGTCAACAAAAGAGCTAAGACAGAATCATAAAAATTATTCAGTAATCCAAAAGCAGACAGAAAAAAAGAAAAAAGGAACAAAGAACAAATGAGACAAATAGAAAACAAAGAGCAAGGCAACAAATTTAAACCAAACCGTGTCAATAATAACATTAAATGTAAACGGTCTTAAATCTGAATTAAAAGGCAGAAATTGTCAGATTGGATAAAAAAGCAAGACCTAATTATATGCTGCCTACAAGAAACACTTTAACTATAAAGATACAAATAGATTAAAAGGAAAATGATGGGGCTTCCCTGGTGGCACAGTGGTTGAGAGTCTGCCTGCCAATGCAGGGGATACGGGTTTGTGCCCCGGTCCGGGAAGATCCCACATGCCGTGGAGCAGCTGGGCCCGTGAGCCATGGCCTCTGAGCCTGCGTGTCCGGAGCCTGTGCTCCGGAATGGGAGAGGCCACAACAGTGAGAGGTCCACGTACCGCAAAAAAAAAGGAAAATGATGGAAAAAGATACACCATGTCACCACTTAGTCAAAAAATGCTGGAGTGGCTTCATTAATATCAGACAAAGTAGATTTCTGGGCAAAGAATATAACTAGTAATAGAAAAGGTCATTTCACAGATACATGCACCCCTATGTTCATAGCAGCACTATTTACAATAGTCAAGACATAGAAACAACCTAAATGTCCACTGACGATGAATGGATAAAGAAGATGTGGTATATATATACATTGGAATATTACTCAGCCATAAAAAAGAATGAAATAATGCCATTTGCAGCAACATGGATGGACCTAGAGATTATCATACTAAGTGAAGTAAGTCAGAGAGAGAAAGACAAATACCATATGATATCAGTTATATGTGGAATCTAAACTACGACACAAATGAACATGTCTACGAAACAAACAGATTCACAAACATAAAGAACAGACTTGTGGTTGCCAAGGGGGAGGTGGGGTGGGGGAGGGAAAGATTGGGAGTTTGGGATTAGCAGATGCAAACTATTATACATAGGATGGATAAACAACAAGTCCTACTGTATAGCACAGGGAACTATAGTCAATATCCTGTGATAAACCATAATGGAAAAGAATATGAAAAAGAATATATATATGTATAACTGAATCACTTTGCTGTACAGCAGAAATTAACACAACATTGTAAATCAACTATACTTCAATAAAATAAATTTTTTAAAAAGGTCATTTCACAATGATAAAGAGATCAATTGGGCGTCCCTGGTGGCACAGTGGTTAAGAATCCGCCTGCCAATGCAGGGGACATGGGTTCGAGCCCTGGTCCAGGAAGATCCCACATGCTGCGGAGCAACTAAGCCTGTGTGCCACAACTACTGAGCATGCGCTCTAGAGCTTGCACGCCGCAACTACTGAAGCCCGCAAGCCTAGAGCCTGTGCTCCGCAACAAGAGAAGCCACCACAATGAGAAGCCCACGCACCGCAACAGAGTAGCCCCTGCTCACCGTAACTAGAGAAAACCCACGCGCAGCAATGAAGACCCAATGCAGCCAAAAATAAATAAATTTATTTAAAAAAAAAAGAGATCAATTAATCAACAGGACATAAAAATCCCAAACATTTATATACCTAATAACAGAGCTTCAAATTACATGAAGCAAAAACTGAAAGATGTGCAAGAGATATAAACAAATCTACAATCACAGGCAGATTTCAATATCCCCCTTTCAAGAATTGATGGAATAAGTAAAGAGAAAATTCATAAGAATATAGAAGACTTGAACAACACTATCAACCAATTCGACCTAATTGACACTTACAGTACACATCACCCCAAAACAGCAGAATACACATTTTTTTTTAAAAAGGCACAAGGAACACTTACGAAGTAGACCATATTCTGAGCCATAAGGTATGTCTCAATAAGTTGAAAAGCATTCTAATCATATAAAGTATGTTTTCTGACAACAACTAAATTAAATTAGAAATCAGTAACAGAAAGATCTCTGGAAAATCCCAAATATTTGGAAACTAAATAACATACTTCTAAAAGACCTCTGGGTCAAAGCAGGTATCAAAAAGGAAACCAGAAAGTAGTCTGAACTGAATGAAAATGAAAAGGTAAGATATCAGATTTGCAGATGGCTCTAAAACCGTGCTTAGGTGGAAATTTATAGCACTAAACATCTATATTAAAAAAAAAAAAAAAGAAAGGTCTAAGTCAATGGCCTCTGCTGACACCTTAAAAAACTAAACAAAGAAGAGTAAAATTAAACCCAAAGTCAGCAAAAGAAAGAAATTAACAAAAATCAAACAGAAGTCAATGAAACAGAAAACAAACAAACAGAAAGAGAGAACAATCAATGAAACCAAAAGCTGGTTCTCTGAGATCAGTAAAACTGATTAACCTCTAGCCAGACTGCTCAGGAAGAAAAGAAAGCATACACAAAATGACCAGAATCAGGAATGAAAGATATGACATCACTACAGATTCTACAGATGTTCACAGGACAGTAAGGGAATATTATGAATAACTTTATGTCAATCAATTATACAACTTAGTGAAATGGACAAATACCTTTAGAAACACAAACTGCCAAAGTTCACTGAGGAGAAACAAATAAATTGAGGAGCCCTGTATCTATTAAAAAAAATTAACTTGCAGTTAAAAACTTGCTCACAAACAGAACTCCAGGCCCAGATGGCTTCACTGGTTAATTCCACTAATTATTACAGAAATAATACAAATTCTATACAGACTCCTTCAGAAAAGTGAAAAGGAAGGAATACTTCCCAACTCATTCTTTTGGACATTATTATAAAGCTACAGTAATCAAGACAGTGTGTTCTTGGCATACAGATGGGCGAACAGATCAATAGAACAGCAGAGTCCAGAAACAGACCTGTGTTTACGGACAACTGATTTCAACAAAGGTGCAAAGGCAATTCAGTCGAGAAAGGATTGTGTTTTCAACAAAACAGGCTGGGACAATTGGAAATCCACGTGGAAAAAAAATTTGGGGGGACCCATATCTCACATCATATGCAAAAATTAACTCAAAATGGATCATAGTTCTAAATGTAAACCCTGAAAAATATAATACTGCTGGAAGAAAACAGAAGAGAAAACCTTTGTGACATGGAGTAGGGCAAGATTTCTTAAATAAAATGTCAAAAGCACAAGCTATAAAAGAAATTATTAAATCCGACTTCATCAAAATTAAAATTTTCTGGTTTTCAAAAGACAAGCCAAAGCGTGGGAGAAAATATTTACAAATTGTATATATGATGAAGGTCTTGTTTCCAGTAAGAAAACAAACAACCCAATTAAAAACTTTTAGCAAAAGACTGGAACAAGCACTTCACCAAAGATATACAAAGGGCCAATACGCACATGAAAAGATGCCCAATATCATTCATTAGTCATTAGGAAAATGCAAGTTAAAACCACACTGAGATACCTACTATACACCAACTGAATGGCTAAAATTAAGACTAACCATACCAAGTTTACGATGACGTGGAACAACTGGAATACCTGCGGGAATGTAAAATGCTACTCGGAAAATACTTTTGCAGTTTTTAAAAAGTTAACCATACACCTACCATATGACCCAGCTATTCCACCGCCGAGTATTTACCCAAAAGAAACAAAAGCATATGTCCACCCAATGACTATATACAAATGCTCCTTGCCACTTTACTTGTAACAGCCCCAAACTGGAAACAACCCAAACATCCATCAATAAGTGAAAGAATAAACAAACTGTGATTGATATATATAATATATATACATAATATATATAAAAACAGAATGTACTTCTGATACATGCTTCAACATGGATGAATCTCAGAATAATTACGCTGAGTGAAAGAAGCCAGACAAAATGAAAGAGAGTACATAATGCATGATTCTATTTATATAAAACTCTAAATACAAACCCATCTATAGTGATGAAAAGCAGGTCATTATCTGCTTAGGGATGTGGGGAAAAGAGGCAGGGAGGAGCCTGAGGGAGGGATTACGAAGTGGCATGAAGAAACTTTTGGGGTGATGGTTCATTGTCTTGATTGTGGTAATGGTTTCACAGGTGCATACACATGTCAAAATTTATTACCAATTGTACATTTTACGTGCAGTTTATTGTACGTCAAGTATATGTCAAGAAAGCTGTTAAGGGAAAAAAGGCACAGGGAAATTAAGCAACTTGGCCAAGGTGTCACAACAAAATGCCATGACATGGATATACCATATTTAACAACTCACTACTATTCGATATTGTGTTGTCTTTGATTAAAAACAAAGCCGTGATACAATCTCTCTCTCTGAGTTGTTTTTGATTTAAGTTTATTTCCCTTTTCCTTGAGCCCGGTTTCAAGAAGTAGAAATACGAGATAGGCCAAAGAGTATGCACACATCTCAGGCTATTAACAAGTGGGTCCCCAGAAAGCTTGGAATGAGGCCCACCCTCTGAGCCACCTCCACAGCCCAATTTTTGCCAGCATGCTTCCTTACTGGGAAGAGGTAAATAGGTTCATTTTTGTCTCTCATTTTTGCCCATGATTTCCCCATCCCTGTCTTCCTGTAGAACTGCAGATAATCAAAGAATCCCCCTGAGCTCTCACTTTGCCCACCTGTGAGATGGGGCTATGACCATTCTCTTCCAAAGCTGTGAGGCTCTAGAGGATGGCAATGGTGGCCAGAGCCTTCTGTGATGACCAAGGGCCTTGGTCCCGTCCACTTTGAGACGCCTTTGGCTAAAATCATCTCCCCGTGAGTCATCTGCACCAGGGGCAGTGCCCCACCCACTCCCAGAGCCAGGGAACCATGCCACTCTCACCTGTTTCTTGGTGTCCACCTCCAGAATGTCCATCAGGTTGATCATGATGTTTTTGTGTGTCTTCTTGTACTTCCCAACCCGCAGTGAGACGGTGAGCCAGCCAGGGCGCCCTGTACACATGAAGGTCTTGCTGCCCTGCTCCTTCCATTCCCGCACCTGCAGACATGAGAAGAGGCTGAGCTGGGCCTGCCAGAGATCCCCTGGGCAGCTCACAGCCTTGCTTTCAGGAGAGGGAGCTGGGAATTTACCGAGGCCCTGAATCCTTCCAGGTACCAGGAGGAGCGGAATGATGAAACACCCACTGGCCCTATCCTCTGGACTCTCCCCGGCTAGTGAGGCCGACAGAAAAGCCAAAGTGCTGCCACATCACAAAGCAGAATGAAAAAAGAGCAAGAGAACAGGATCAGAGCACTTTGAAAACATTTATTCTCACTGCAAAGTTCAGGACAGGTTTCGTAATGGTAGTAATAACAACCGCACAAATGATAACTATTTACTAGCTGCCATCATTGTACCAAGCACTGCTGTATCTTGTCTCACTTAATTCTCACAACAACCCCAGGTGGTTGGGATGACCTGCCTCCTTTTGCAGACGAAGAAAATGAGAGGCAAAATAACTTGTCCAAGGTCACACAACCACTGAAGGGCAGAGCCCAGATTCACCATCAGAACTAACTAACGTTAGGCCTGGAAGGATAAATGGGCTTAAATTAATAGTCAACAGAGTAACAGCTAACATTTACTGAGGCTTATTAGGTGCCAAGCCCTGTTCCAAGCATTTGCGCATGTTAACTCATGCATCACTAGCAGGGGGAGAGGACAGGCAGGGGAGGCCCACCAAGCCAATGGAAGGAAGAACTTTTGCAAAACCCTTCTGTAAGTGACCAGAGCACAAAGTACAGAGAAGAAATGGCCCAGGAAATGACAAGCCCATCAGGAACATGGGAGGAAGCATGCCCTTCCTGCTGATGGACAAGGGCAGGGAGGTGGATATCTGTTGCTGTGACCTGCGACCACCCATGTCCTCTTCATCTGCTTGTAACACTCCCATCTTCCTTTGGTCCAGGTGAAGCTGATTCCCCTCCTGCCCCAGGAGGTGGGCACATGACTGAGGTCTGATTCTATCCCCCTGGCCACAGTGACTGGTTCAGGGATGGGTCTGTGATCCAAGTGAAGCCAGTTAAGACCGACGCTGGGAGAGGCCCTCTCACTTCACTTGGGTTTGCTAGGCTGGTTGGATGTAAGCCAGAAACTGCTGGGGCCTCCGCAGGGAGGGGGCCTCCGCAGGGAGACGGCCTCCCTGAGAGTAAAGTCAACTCAGAGGAAAGCAGAGACAAGGGATGGCAGCTGGAGAGGAATCCTGGATCCGGTGATGTCTGAGCCACTTTTACTCCTGGACTTTTCAAGACCTGGGTCAACGAAGTCCCTTTTTGCTCAAGGCAGTTGGAGTTGGTTTTCTATCACTTGCAACCAAGAGTCCTTGGAAGAAGCTGGATTGAAGCTGGTCAGGCAAACGGTTCAACGTGGGGAAGAACTGTTCTGTGACTGGAGAGGCCAGGGTGCCACGTGAAGCAGAGGTGTTCGCGCAGAGGGGTGTTACTGAGGAAGGGATTCCTGTGAGCAGGGGGTAAAGGGATGACCAGGCAGACCTTGCCCCTGCCTGACTCTGCAGTCCCAGGACTTAATACAAGATCAGAGGTGTGGAGGATGGATTGGGAGAGCTGCATGCAGCCTGGAATGGGAAGGGGGGCAGTGGGGCATGAAGTGAATGTGGAGACCATCAAGCCTGAAACATTGGTTGGGTTGGATCCTGACCCGAGCCAACCAAGACTTCGGGCAGGGAGGCAATCCTGTGGAGTGTTGCCCTTATGACTAAGGGCAGGCCAAGGAGAGGTGGGGAGGGCCCAGGGAACAGGCAACTGGTCAGGTAGCTATTATCACATTCCAGGTGTGAGTCAACGGAACCAGACCTCCAGGGTGGAATGAAATGGGCTGGGAGAGAAGAAATGTCACAGTTCAGGCTCTGAAATCAAGCTGACCTGAGTTCCAGACCCATTTACTAGCTATATCATCTTGGGAACATGACTGACAGTTTGAACCTCAATATCTCCCACCTGTAGAACAGGTACAAGACCTACCAGGGTGGTCGTTTTCTGGTAAGCTGCCTGAGGTGACCTCTAAAAATGATTTGGTTTTCACTTGACCCAGAAAACCCCACAAAATCATGCAAATCAAGAGGTTCGAATCTTCGTGTTCACTTTAAGAACACTGGTGAAACTGTCCAGGCCGTTAAGGGTATGCATAACCGAAAAGCCACCAAGTATCTGACGGATACCACTTTACAGAAGCAATGTGTGCCATTCCGTTGTTACAACGGTGGAGTTAGTAGGTGTGCCCAGGCCGAACAGTGGGGCTGGACGCGGGGTCAGTGGCCCAGAAGGAGTGCTGAATTTTGACAGCACGTGCTCAAAAATGCAGACAGTCATGCTGAACTTAAGGGCTTAAACGCAGATTCTCTGGTCATTGAGCACATCCAAGTGAATAAAGCCCCCAAGATGCGGCACAGGACTTAACAGAGCTCATGGTCAGATCAACCCATACATGAGCTCTCCCTGCCACACTGAGATGATCTTTACCGAAAAAGAGCAGATTGTTACTAAACCAGAAGAGGAGGTTGCACGGAAGAAAAATATATTCCAGAAGAAACTGAAGAAATAAAAACTTATGGCCTACGAACTTCCCTGGTGGCACAGTGGTTAAGAATCCACCTGCCAATGCAGGATACATGGGTTCGAGCCCTGGTCCGGGAAGATCCCACATGCTGCGGAGCAACTAAGCCCATGCACCACAACTACTGAGCCTGCGCTTTAGAGCCCATGAGCCACAACTACTGAGCCCACACACCACAACTACTGAGCCCATGTGCCACAACAACTGAAGCCCGCGCACCTAGAGCCCGTGCTCCACAACAAGAGAAGCCACCACAATGAGAGCCCCCGCACACCGCAACTAGAGAAAAGCCTGCGTGCGGCAATGGAGACCCAATGCAGCCAAAAATTCATTAATTAATTAAACAAAACAAAACAACAACAAAAAAACTTATGGCTTGGGAATAAATGCCACACACAAAAAAATGCAGGGCTTCCCTGGTGGCGCAGTGGTTGAGAGTCCGCCTGCCGATGCAGGGGACGCGGGTTCGTGCCCCGATTCAGGAAGATCCCACATGCCGCGGAGTGACTGGGCCCGTGAGCCATGGCCGCTGAGCCTGCGCGTCTGGAGCCTGTGCTCCGCAACGGGAGAGGCCACAACAGTGAGAGGCCCGCGTACCGCAAAAAAAAAAAAAAAGCAAACAAAAGTTAAAAAAAAAAAGACCTAAGTTAAAAAAAAAAAAAAGTGTTGCTGTGAGGATGAGAAATAATGGTCATCAATGGCATGGGGTGTGGCACAGGGCAGGTCCTCAGCAGCGGGCCAGTCTGGCAAGGCCCCTCATCTTCCTGTCCCTAGTGAGCCCTTTGGTTTAGCTTAGGTTCCTAAGCACTCACTGTGCTGCTTTGGGCCAGGGCCCATGGGATAGAGGGGAGTCAGATAGCAGTCTCTGCCTTCAAGGAGCTCACACTCTGATGGGGCAGACAAGCAGGTAAATCAAAAATCTGAACACATAGAAAGAACTAGGCAACAGGGTGCATTTGGGACAGAGGGTAGGCTGGGCTCTGGAGCTGTGACTGTGACCAGCGCAACCCATGGCAGCCTGAGTAAAGCGCTTCCAGATGTTGCCTGCTCCCACCTGGCCCAAGGTCTATCCCTCACAGGGATGGCTCTCCGCATCCATCTTCATGCTGTTGGAGGCAGAACCCAGCCAGCAGCAAACAGAACATGGAGGCTGCTACACCTGTGGCGAGGGTGGCAGCAGGAAACAGAAGCTCTTTGCAACCTGACGCCAGTAAGAGAGGAACATAAGGAGGGGCAGAGGGAGCCAAGAAACTGCCCAGGCCTGATGCCCAGGCCTGATGCCCATGCCAGCTGTGGCCATGAGGGAGGAGGCGCGGCTGTGAGCGGCAGCAGGGGCAGGGGTTCTGTGGGTGCTGACACAGGGGAGGACGTATAGAGTTACTGGGAGGTGGGCACTGCCTTGTCAAGAGTGAGCGCCTGGCGCAGGGTCTGTGAGGCTCCCCACCCTGGTGTGGGGCTACCTTCTCACTTTAGTCCTCTATTACAAGAAGGCGGAAAGCTCCTTCTTGCTAAGGAGTAAACTCCAAACTGAAGGGCCCTCCCCAACCTAGTTCCAAACTGACTTTCCAACCTTCTGCCTCTCTTCTCCTATGCTCACACTTTCCCCCAATCACTCCCCCTGCTTCCCAGTCTCCAGCGCCAGGTGAACCTTCCTGAAGACCCCCTTCTCCTCTGAAATCGATTGGGCCGGGTGAGAGCTACTTGAGCATGGCTCTCCTACCCTCTCTTATGATTCTTTACATCCCTGCAGATCCCCGTACGTACTCTGCACATAGTAGGCACTCCATAAATGTCGGAGCAATGCTCTGTTCTACTCTTTTGCTTACTCCGTTCCCTCTCCGGAAGCACCCCTCCCCCCAGTTACATTTTTGTTTAGTTCAAATCCCGCTCAGACGCCACCTCCTCCGTGAAGCCCTGGCTCCCCTGCGCCGCGCACCACTTCGCGCCTGGCTCCCGCCCCACCCGGCTCCGCTCACCTGCTTCTGGATGTCCCGCACGCGCTGCTCGTGCAGCCGCGGCGCGCTGCTGAGCTTGAACACCACCCAGGCGCGCACATAGTAGTAGATGTCGAAGATGAGCGAGAGCGGCAGGAGGAAGAGGCACACGAACACCCAGCGCTGGTGGATGAGCACGAACTCCAGCCCCTTCACGCGGACCCAGAGCAGGAAGAGCAGAGCGCACACTGCCAGCGACACGGCGGGCTCCATGGTGGAGCCGGCGGCTCACCGCGCGGGGGAGGGGATGCCGGCTCGCGCCGCTGGTCACCGCCACCCGCTCTTCGCCGGCCTGCGCTCGCTGCTGCCCGCGGCCCGCTCCCCGCGAGCCCCAGGACACCTCGCCGCCTCGCGATTGGCTCGGGTCGCAAAGGTTCGGTGGGCCGAGACCCGGGTGGTGACCAATGGCGAGCCGCGCCGGGGATCGGACCAGGAACCTGCTGCTTTTATTGGCTGCGGGAGTCAGGCCGCTCCACCCTCTTCTCCTCTCAGACACGCTGGGAGGGGGTGGCCGGGGACCCTGGCGCTGGTGGGGTCTACGGCGCTCTGCGGCTCCGGGATTCAGGTTTCCCGGCCCTGGGGACTGACGAGTCGCCCCGCCGCTGAGGGGCGCGGCTGCAACCTCCTCCCCTTCTCCTTAGGTGGCGCCTTCTCGTGAGGCGCGTTAAGCGGTCATGCGTTCGGTTACCTCCCGGGGGGTCGGGTCGGGGCGCCCCACGCCTTGGGTCCGTCACCCTGCAGCTTGGCCGAGAATGCCCGTACCGGCCAGGGAGGGTGGAAACCTGGCCTCGACCTCCACAGGTCGTGTCACTCTATGCCCTCATGGCCACGAGATGCACCTTTTCATTTTTCGAGGCGCTTTCTGTAAATTCATTTGAGTTACGCAACAGTCCAGCGGCGGGTAGTTGTGAGCCCGTTTTATAGACGAGGAAACATCCTAGAAGGGTGAAGGCCTGCCTCTGAACTCCCGAGGACTTAAGAAGCGTAGGCTAGGGTTGGCGCTCTTCCCCCTCTCCCGCTATACTGAGGGGGAGGGGAGGACTGGGGGAAAGGACTGAAGGAAGGTACCGGCTCTGTAAACTTATAGTTCCCGCTCTGCCAGGCAGCGTTGCAGGCCCTGGGACAGGGTGGTGAGCAAAGCAGACGGCCCAGCCCACAAGGAGCAGCCAGTCCAGAGGAGCTGCTGTGACTGTTAGCAGCAAAAGCTTAAATCCAGTGTCATTTGCATTCCACCGCAATCCTGTAGAGAGACAGTTACTTCTTATGAAATTTTAGGAAGTGTAGATTTTTTTATTTTAGAAGCCAAACATGACTTACCAGGCCCTTCAGTGGCCTTGCTTGCCTCCACACTTTCCTCTCTTTCGTCTCTGCCCTAACAGGCACTCTTTGGACGTTCCTGGGGTCCCACTATCTCTCATTTCAGGCCTTTGCTCAAGCTGACACCTCTGGAATGCCCTTTCCCATCCTTTTCATAGAGCTAACATTACAGGTCCTTGAAGTCAACTCAGGGACACCTCTAAAACTACATTGATGGTACTTCCTTCTCCTTTCAAGTGCTCATAAAATAGAGGGTGTCTATGTCATGATTCTTTTACATTATTCATAATCATCTCTGTGTGTCTCTCACCCTCACAGACTGAGCTTTAGGATAAAATGTCCACTTTTGTATTTCTAGTTTCTAGCATAATGCTAGGTGCATAGTGGGCACGCCAGTGTTTGCTGACCAGTGAATGAAGGAAGAATGTAGACAGAGGCTCAAATATTCAAGTAAACGTAAAAGTCAAAATAGAGGCTGTTTGCATTAGGCTTCAAAAATGAATTGTCTAGACTTGTACTCTCTTACACAATAGCTTCTAGCTACCGGTATGTGGCTAGTCCAAACTGAGACATACTTTAGGTGTAAAACACACACCGGATTTCAAAGACAGTGCAAAAAAGAGAACGCAGAATACCTCATTAATAATTTTGATATTGATTACTTTTCCTTTTTAAGTCTGAATAATATTCCATTTTATGTACCACATTTTGCTTATCCATCCATGGACCCTTGAGTGGCTTCTATGTTTTAGCTATCGTGAATAATTCTGCTATAAACATGGGTGTACCAATATCTTTCGGAGACCCTTTTAATTCTTTTGGCATATACCCAGAAGTGGAATTGCTGGATTGTATGGTAATTCTGTGTTTAATTTTTGAGTTGCCATATTGCCCCACAGTGGCTGCACCAGTACTTGTTGCTTTCTATTTTGATTTTTTGACAGTAGTCGTCCTAATGGTTGTAAGGTGGTATCTCACTGTAGTTTTGATTTGCATTTACCTGTTGATTAATGATGTTGAACGTCTTTTCATGTGCTTTTTGGCCATAGCTCTATCTTCTTTGGAGAAATGTCTGTTGAAATCCTTTGCCTATTTTTGAATTGGGGCTTTTTGTTGTTGTTGTTGAGTTTTAGGTGTTCTCTGTGTACTCTGGATATTATCCCTTATCAGATACATGATTTGCAAATATTTTCTCCAATTCTGTGGGTTGTTGGGCCCATTAATTTTTGCACAAGTCAAGGAAGCTCCCTTTGATAGGGAGTCTACTCATGAATTACTGTTAATAAATGTATATTATTTACATAAAAACCTAGTTAGAATGCTTAGGAATAGGATGTTCTGGTTAACAAGTACTCAGGTTAACTGGAAATTAAGCAAAATCCCTTTTACAGTTTGACCATGAAACAATCTTTCTAAAATGTGAGTCCCCATTTCTTGCTTAATGAATAGAGCCTAAGGAACACAAATAATTTTACTTATTAAGGAGCTCAGTAAACACCAGAGTCCTAACAAAGAGCATTTTATTATATTTGTACAGTACAGCTACTGAGATCATCTGGTCTTCACAACCAGTCTGAGGGGTGGCAATACAGAGAACTATTAATCTGCGTTGTTTTTAATAAATGGGGTCATTCAGACAGAGCGAGCTTGAGAGACTTGCCTGATCAGCGTCTTATTCTGGTGAATAGAGAAGCCCAGATATGGCTCCCATTTTCTGGATCTTTCCATCACTTGAATCTGCTCCCTTGATTATTGTGTGAAACACCATATCTTGTGGTTAGGTTCTAGAGATACGAAGTGCAAGCTTTACAATAGGGTTTCTTGGGCTTCCTTGGTGGTGCAGTGGTTTAGAATCCGCCTGCCAATGCAGGGGATACGGGTTCGAGCCCTGGTCTGGGAAGATCCCACATGCCGCGGAGCAACTAGGCCTGTGAGCCACAACTACTGAGCCCGTGTGCCACAACTACTGAGCCCGTGTGCCACAACTACTGAGCCCGTGTGCCACAACTACTGAGCCCGTGTGCCACAGCTACTCAAGCCCGCGTGCCCAGAGCCCGTGCTCCACAACAAGAGAAGCCGCCGCAATGAGAAGCCCATGCGCAGCGATGAAGAGTAGCCCCCGCTCGCCACAACTAGAGAAAGCCCGTGTGCAGCAACAGAGACCCAGCTCAGCCAAAAAAATAAATAAATAAAATAAATAAATTTATTAAAAAAAAAGAATAGGGTTTCTTGAAGTGTGGTCTGAGACCATCCACATCTGATTGCTGGCTAAAATGCAGATTCCAGGACCCCACCACATCCCACTGAATCAGAATCTCCCCAGGTGAGGCCCAGGAGTCAGCTTTTTAACAGGTCTCCAAGTTATGACTACACGTGCTAACATTTAGGAGATTGGACTGAATGTGTATTGACTCTGAAACATCTCTAAGAATATTCTTTGTTTTTAAATGAAGCCCTAATAAGAGATTCTTTTCCCTTGCAAAGTGCAGCTTTTGCCTAAAAGCCCAGTTTATCTGGAAAACCATAATAAGCTAACTTCCAGATAATCAAGACTTTGTTGTCTTATCACCTTGTGTATCTTTTTTTTTTTTTTTTGCGGTATGTGGGCCTCTCACTGTTGTGGCCTTTCCCATTGCGGAGTACAGGCTCCGGACACGCAGGCTCAGCGGCCATGTCTCAACGGGCCCAGCCGCTCCGCGGCATGTGGGATCCTCCCAGATCGGGGCACGAACTCGCATCCCCTGCATCGGCAGGCGGACTCCCAACCACTGCGCCACCAGGGAAGCCCACCTTGTGTATCTTAAAAACAGTAAGCAGTTTTTGAAGTCTCCAGGACAAGACGTTAACTCCATTCTAGGGGAGCTGGCTTTCTTATGCTCGTGGTCAGAGTCATTCATTCATTTGTTCCCTCAACCTCTCACTGGTGATGCTTTATAACTCAAACAGCAGCAACAATAAGGGTGTTTATTCTCTCATATAGCCAGAAGTCTGAGTGTAGTTTGACCCAGAGTTGGTTAAGTCATTAGCTCAATGAATTTTTTTTTTTTTAATTTATTTTTGGCTGCGTTGGGTCTTCATTGCTGCACGAGGGCTTTTCTCTAGTTGCGGCCAGCAGGGGCTACTCTTTGTTGCAGTGTGTAGGCTTCTCATTGTGGTGGCTTCTCTTGTTGCAGAGCACAGGCTCTAGGCATGTGGGCTTCAGTAGTTGTGGCTCACGGGCTCAGTAGTTGTGGCGCACGGGCTTAGTTGCTCCACAGCATGTGGGATCTTCCTGGACCAGGGCTCGAACCCGTGTCCCCTGCATTAGCAGGCAGATCTTGACCACTGCGCCACCAGGGAAGCCCCTCAATGACTTCTTGAAAGACCCGGTTCTTCCTGTCTTCTGCTTATTCTGTCTTTCCTGGGTCAGCTTCCCTGATAATGGCCAGAGTGGCCACGGTTCCAGGGGCTCCATCAGATACAGCAACATCCTGAAGGAGAAGGGGAATCAATTTTAGATGGAAATTAACCGTGTCTGCATTCTTCAGTGATTATTGATGTGCAGGAATCGTGCAAGGTACTGGGGATACAGTAGTGAACTAGACACGATCATTGTCCTGACAGATCATTGTGTGGGATCTGGACAAATGAATAGGCAATTATGAATCAATGTGTTAAGTACTATGATAAGGAATTATAGGGTACTATGGAAGCACATGAAGAGTTGTATACATTTTATATATATATGTATGTCTATACAGTTGACCCTTGAACAACATGGGTTTGAACTGCACGAGTCCACTTATGTGTGGATTTCTTTCACTAGATACATACTACAGTATCACCTGATTCCCAGGGGGTTGAATCTGTGGATGCAGAACTGCACACATGGAGGACCAACTGTAAAGTGATAGGTTGGGGGCAGAGTCGGAGAAAAGATGAGCGCTATGGACTGCGTGTTTGTGTCCCCTCGGATTCATAAGTTGAAACCCTAATCCCCAATGTGATGGTATTAGGAGATGAGGGCTTTGGGAGGTAATTGGGGTTAGATGAGGTCATGAGGGAAGAGCTAATCATGGTGCGATTAGTGCCCCTATAAGGAGGTGATAGGACCAGAGCTCTTTCTCTCTGCCATGTGAGGGTGCAGTGAGAAGACAGCCACCTGTGGACCAAGAGGAAGGCCCTCACCAAGCACCCTACCGTGTTGGCACCCTGATCTCAGACTTCCAGCCTCCAGAACTGTGAGAAATAAATGTCTGTTGTTTAAGCTCCCCACTCTACAATATTCTGTTATACTGACTGAGAGAGTGAGTCTATGGTCGTTGGGTCTGGGGCAAAGAAATGATAACTGGACATCATTGGGGTAAGTAGTGGACAAGCCATCGGAGTCCATTTTCTGATCCTTTGCCTTTAGGGCACTGTTGTCTTCTTTCCAAGACGTTAATGAATCAATCTAGCAAATTAGCCCTTACTAATTTGTCGTGGCTATTTTAAAGGCATGGCTGTTTTAGAAGGAGCAATATTTTTAAAAAGCAGATTAATAATACTATAACTTATTATATTTTGTGTAAAAATAGCTTTATTCCTTTTGAAATGTGGGGTATATTCTTCTAAACAATTCAAACTACACAAAAAAAGCCAGAAAAGAAAGTAAAAAATCACCTCAAATGGTTCATCATCCAGAGACAACTAAAGTTCCCATATTCGTGAACATCCTCCTAGACATACCTCTGGGCCCATGTACATATATGTACATAATTTCCCAAACAAGATCAACTCAACATGAGCTTTACAGTTTGCTTTATAAAAACTGAACCATAGGCTATAGGCTTTTTTTGTTTGTTTGTTTGCATTACGTGGTCCTCTCACTGTTGTGGCCTCTCCCGTTGCGGAGCACAGGCTCCGGACGCACAGGCTCAGCGGCCATGGCTCACGGGCCCAGCCGCTCCGCGGCATGTGGGATCTTCCCGGACCGGGGCACGAACCCGTGTCCCCTCCATCGGCAGGCGGACTCTCAACCACTGCGCCACCAGGGAAGCCTGGCTATAGTCATTTTTAATGGTTTCCTTGTATTCCAGTGTGTGTTTGTATGTGTGTGTACGGGGGTATATGTGTGTGGCTTAATTTATTCAATCAGTCCTCTATTGAAGGACATTTATTTTCAAAGTTTTGTTATGATGGGCAAAGTTCCAGTGAATTTTCATTATCATGTTTTTGAACACAGTACACAAGTTGCACAGTAGAGGAACATAGGGTAGTAAAGCAAGGGACTTCATGAGGTCCAGTGCCTCTTACTCAAAATGTGGTCCTTGGACTGGCAGTGCCTGATTCACCCGGGGAACTTGGTAGAAATGCAGAATCTTAGCTCCACCCCCTACCTACAGAATCAGAATCTTCATTTTAACAAGATCTTATCTGGGGGAGAAGGGACAGTTTGCCTGGGAAACCTGAAAAGTGAACAGGCATCATCCGGGCAACGACTGGGGGTGAGACTTGGTCAAGATGGAGGAAATAGCCTCCTGGAAGGAAGACTCTGGGCCTGGGAGGACCCACAGGAAGAAGTCCCGTGTGGCTGGAGCTTAAGGAACAAGGAGAAGAGTGGAGGAGACAGGCAGGAGCTAGGCCACGGTAATGATTCTGGACTTCATTTGGGGGCCAGAAAAAACATTAAAAATTTCAGAGTAATACAGTCATATTATTATTTTAACAAGCAACGTGTATCAACAAGGATATTTCCAGGTTTTATGGTGTCTAAGCTTGTTTGTTTGTTTTGGCTGTGACATGAGCTCTCAAGATCTTAACTCCCCGACGAGGGCCGAACCCACCCCCTCTGCAGTGAATGCGTGGAATACTAACCACTGGACCACCAAGGAATTCCCAGAGTCTAAGTTTTATACAATTCAGGATGCTCTTTTTAAGGAAAAGACCACAAAATTATGAAGCATCATTGTGATTACTTATTTAGAATGAGAAAAAAATCACAAATTATACATTTTAAGATGACAGGTACCACAAATATCACAAAATCTAGAAAAATAAAATTTTTATTAAACTGCTGGATACACCTGTCTAATACTTTTTTCTTATATTTTTGGGCCTCAATTCTCTTTTATCATTTCTTCATGTGAAAACAATTTTATAATATCATTTTATAAGCAGAGAGAATAAAATGATAATTCAGTCCTTCTTCCAACATGGCTGATCAACATTTGCTTTTTATCATTGATAGTTTGGAAACGTTTTGGTATATAAGTAACTATTGTCAATGTCATGGCAAATTTTTTCGGATCGTTATCAAATTCGGAAAAATCTCTATTAAGTTTCTTTCAATTATGAGCTGTAAGTCTTCAAAGCATTTCGAATTTTCTCATGCAGTGAATAATCTCTACTTTTTGAATTGAGGACACTCATTAACCAGGGATTCAGGAGGTGCTCCGGTAAGTGAGGGTCCCTGAAGCTTAAGTTTCATTTATTTCATATAGACGCTTTTCTGTGTATCCACCTTTAACTCCATACAGCAAACTGAACTGGGTCTTAGGTTATAGAGACACGGTCCTTGAGATCATGGATTGATGGGGAGACATGACAAAAGCTAACTATAAAGTAAGGCAGAATGTGAGTACTATACAACCGAGAGACAAACACAACTGTTAGTGAAATTCTGGGAATGTCATATGCATATTCATAACTATATAAGATAGGCCATAGTCCATTCCAAAAATATTGGTCAAATGCCTACTGTGTGCCTATCACTGCCGGCAACAGGTTGGGAGGGCAAAGATGGATACATCCAACAGGACCTCTGTCCCATGGGTCATAGTGTGGTATGTAAGATATATATGCAGAAAAAGCAATGCCAATCATAATAATCACAGCAGCTAATATTTATGGAACATGATTCTTTGTCAGGCACAATTCTCAATGCTCTACATTTAAATACACTATCATAATACAATTAAATACAGTGTAACAGTACAAAGTAGAATATGCTAAATACCTCATGAGCGGTCCAATTATGCAGAATACTTAAAAGGAAGGGAAATTTTTCTGGCATCATCATCATAAGGAGAAGAATTGAGCACCTGTTGTACCAGGCATGACTCATCCATCATCTTAATATAACCTTCAAAACAACACTGTAATGTAGGCATTGATGTGTCCTTGATATGTCAGTGTTTGGAGAGGTTAGGGAGCTGGACAAAGAGAATAAGATGCTGGGCATTGACCTCCTAAGAAAGCTATCATGAACCAGGCACACACAAGTGGTATGGGTCCGGGCTTTGTTCAACTTCAGCAAAGGTCACAAGCATATAGTTCAACAGGCCAAAGCACAGTAAGAGGTTTTTTCACAAAAATGGCAGTCTCCTGCTCCTCCCTTCCCGTACCCAGTCCTGCTTTCCTCTCTTGCAGCCGTGCTGTGAGCTCCTGGGGACAAAAGAGCTGTCTCCTAGTTGCCCAGTGCCCAGTGCCCGCACAGGGCCAGTGTCCTGAAGTTAACCTGTTCTCCATCTTGATTCTTGAAATCAGAATAATTCCAATTTCTCCCAACAAAATCAGTACATCCCTTAAAAATTGATCAACGACTAAGCATCACATACAAACAATAACATCTATGAACCTTCATTTATTCAGTGTTCAGACCTCCAGCTGCTCAGCATTGCAAACACCCCTGAAGGCAGGTGGAGAAGAGGTTAGCTGTACCAATTTCATTCCCGTAGTTCTGATCTGAATCCTGACTCCTCCATATATTAACCTTGGGCAAGTTACTTATCCACTCTAGAGAAGTCCTGGCAGGTGGCAAATTCCAGTGAATATTATCTGTCATCGTTTCCCAGAAGAAAGGGGCAAATCTCTTTGATCATGTACTGGGCCTATGGCCTCATTCCTTGGCAGAGATAAACAGTCCCAAAGTCACAGACTACTGACTTAAAAATGTGTAAAATGAAACCACTGATTTAATAAGCTCGGCGGCCTGACATGCTGTGGGCGATGGGTGGAAGAATAGACAACAGTGGATGGGGTGAGAGTGAACTGCAGAGGCAGAAGGATTGCTACTCACAACTGGAAAGGAGTCTGGGTGGTTTAATGAGAGACAAACTGTCCTTTTCTAAGTAGCCTCCCTGAGGGCATGTTTGTGGGTTTGACAGCTCTTTACAGTAATAGATGTGCATAATAATACCTTGAATCATCAATAAAAGATCACATATATTCCAAGTAAGCAGTTCAGCCAGGCAAAGAGGTGTGTAATGCCTTTTTAAAAGACCCCTGAGCTTAACTTTGGACGGCATCTCTTAGAGAAACTCAGTCTAAACTCTTACATGCCCAGGAGCAGCATGTCCTCAATTTTAGAAGTACATGGACCAAAAAGATGTTTTAAAAAATTGAAGACCATGTCAGGGCTGCCAGCTTGTTATTTTGCCATGTAAAGAAACCAAGAAACTAACGAGAGAACCACCATCTGTTATCATCTTTCCACGAAAGGAAGGAAATTTTAACGTCGGAGAAAGTAGGAAAGTCACATGCTCAGAATAAAGGGCAGTCATTCAAATTGAACACATTTGGCATTGCAAAACACTTGCCGCATTTCATGACTTTTCTGACTTTGCTGCACCTTCTGGAAGTGTTGCTATGTACCGAACAAATGGGCCTGGGATTTAGAAACTACTGCTTTCTCGAGTGGAGGTTCTCCAAGCGTGGGCCCAGACCAGCAGTAGCACCCCTGGGAACTGGTTACAGATGCACATTCTCGGGTCCCACCCCAGGCCTAGTGAAGCAAAAATTGTGGAAGCAGGCCCAGCAATCTGTACTTTCACAAGCCCTCCATGTGATGCTGACACACCCAAGTTTGAGAAGAACCACGGTTGCAAAGCATCCCTTCTATTTTTTTTTTTTCCTTTGGCTGTGCCTTGTGGCATGCAGGATCTTAGTTCCCTGACCAGGGATTGAACCTGTGCCCCCTGCATTGGGAGCATGGAGTCTTAACCACTGGACAGCTAGGGATGTCCCCCAAAGCATCCCTTCTAGATGGATGGCACATATGCTCTCTGGAAACCCTCCAATGACAGGATCCCAACCACCTCGCAAAGAAGCCTGTTTCAATGTGAGTCAGCTCAGGTGGTTAGAAACTCCTGGACGGGTCTTGATGGTCCCAGTTCTACCCTCTTGAGCCACCCAGAATGATTCTTCCCTGTCTCCTGGCACTTGACAACACACTGTCTACATTTGAAGGTGACGATTATAGCTCCCTTCTCAAGGTGAGCACAGCCACTGCTCATCAGTGGTCCTCACATGGCTCGATCTCTCGTCCTCTCATTAGCCTGGTTGCCCTCATGTGAAGGCCTCTTTATTCTCATTATTAACAACCACCATTTATTGAACACTTGATACTATGTGCCACACACTGCCTAGGGACATTCCATATCTCCTCATTGTTAATGTTCTCAACAACCCTGGGAAGTTGGTCTCTTATCTCCATTTTACAGAAAGAGTAAGTTCAGAGAGGTCAAGTAACTGCCCAATATCCCTCAGCTGGTGAGCGGCTGAGCCAGGATTCCACCACACTCAGACCTGTGGCACTCCTGGTCTCATGTTCTTTCCACTGTATGAGATTGCCCTTAAATTTCCATCAAAATCTTCTTATTTTAGGGGAGGCGGAGCCAGGAAGAGGTAGCCATGAGGACAGAGTATGTAACAGGTGGGTAACAGTGTGGACTCTGGAGTCAGACAAACCTGGGTTGAGTTCCATTTTCTGCAGTTGCTAATTATATGAGCTGGCCTGTGTTTCCTAGTCTCTCTAAGCCTCAATTTCTTCATCTGTACAATGGGGATAATAACAGCATCCATTTAAGCCTGCTATGAGTAGTAAATGAATTTGTGCTTATAAAGCACTTAGCAAAGTGCCCAGGACTCAGTAAATTATCTCTTATTATTACTGAGTAGATGTACTCAGCAATTATATAATTATAGCACAGATGGATCACATCCACACACGTGTACATTATAGCAATAGAAACCATTGTCTCCTTTCCAACTCCACCGAACACCCATTTATTTCTGGCCCTGCATGATTTCAGCAATTCCTGATTCCCTCCCTCCAGTTTCTCACTTTCGTAAGCTGACCTGCATACACTGATAGGTTACTCTTCCCAAGGCCCAGCTCCATCTCCCTGTTGAAACACTACCTTCAAAGTAAGTCCAAGTTTCTCTTCCTGGCTTTCAAGGGTCTGCATACGATATGGCCCTAAGTTCCCACTCCCCCCTTGTCCCCACTATTGCCTGACATGGACTCTAGTTCCAGCTAAACTGATTTATGGGCCTTTCTTCATACATGAAGTTCCTTCTGCATTTTCTCCATCCAAAACGACCACCCATCTCCTTACCCTCCCTCTACCTCATGACTTTCTGTCAAAGTTTTCAATCAAGTACTCTCTCATCTCCAAGAGATGCAGGCAACTTCTTCGTTTGAACTCATTTGGTCTTTATTTCTTGAATTAAAATAGTGTTAGGAAAGGAGCTTAGATTTTGCCACCAGATAGACCCGTGTTCAAATTTTGAATCTTCCTCTAGTGTCTCATGTCCCTGAGATTAAATGTCCTCATCTGTAAATTGGGGAAAATAAAATTACGGAGACTGAAGGAGACTGGCGAATATACGGCTCCGTCTCAGAGCCTGATTCAAGGACTTTTGCAGCGTCTCTTCCCTTCTCCTGTACGGGCATGACGCAGTTTAAATCCCCTATTTGTGGAGAGCGAGGACTTCACCTTCATTGTGTGGGTATCCCTCACAGTCCTCAGAATAAATCTTTATAGACAGATACTCACTAAGGACATGTTGAACTGAACCCACTGCCTCTTATTCGCTAAGGGGTCCGTTCACTTAACCTCTCTGAGCATCAGTACTCTTGTCCCTAAAGTTAGTGATATTAAAAAGAAATCTTTATGCTCCTTCCAGCTATGCCATTCTTTCATCCATTCAATAAATATCTACTGAGCACTTATAATGTGTTAGACAATCTGCTAGGCTGTGGGGATGCCATGGGGAAGGTCAGATGTTCTATAATTAGAACATGCTCTGGTCCACAGCAATGAAAACTCAGTCTAGCACTGGCTGTGGACTGGTGGAGCGTGGGCTCCACCAGCCTAGCAGTGCTGGGCTGCAGATGTCAGTAGGAGAGAGCAACATGTGTAGGCAGCTTGGGAGAGCTGGAGCCTCCAGGAAGACAGTAGTCTTTCATCGTAGGTTGGAAAACCTATCGTTCCCCTTGGCATGGTGCTTCATAGGCGGCTGCCCATTAGTTGGGTATGAAAAAAATTTTAATGGCTTTCCTGAGATAGAATTTACATATGATAAAATTTGCCTGTTTAAAGTGTACAGTTCAATGTTTTTTTAGTATATTTACAGAGTTGTGCAACCATCATCATATCTAATCTAATTAGAACATTTTGATTCCCCAGAAGAAACTGACAACTTTATCTTTGTAATAAAGGTCAAGTGAATGAGTACCTTAGCCCAAGTCAAGTCCTGCCTTTCTTCACCAGCACAGAAATGTGGCTCAGATTGTTGTGGAGATGATAGGGTTGAGAAGTCATTCTCAGAAATATATATCTTAATTAGATCACTGGTATTCCTTTGATAAGCTGGCTTAAAACGTAACGTCAACCCCAGAGATCTCCAACTTGGTTAAATGTGAAGTAAACATCCAGACACATGATCTTCTCCAAGCACAGCCCCTGCTCTCCCAGCTCCATGGCTCCCTGCTGGCTACAAGCAGGTTCCTTAAGCTGGTATCACATGATGACCCAAGATGGGGCCAACCTACCCTTCCTGTTCCTCTCCGTCTCCTCCGAACATTTGCCCTCAATCCCTCTCTCTCCTCCCTCAGTCAAGTCAATTACCCCTTCTGTGTGCTGTCTTCACAGGCACCGCCCTGTAATAGCAAAGCCTTCTCCGGACCTGCCCCCCTCCCTACCCCAACTCTGGCTTCTCTTTACAGACATGCTCCTTGGGTAAGTTACACATACTTCTGCCCATTTCCTGATTCCTAATCCCACTGCAACCTCACTTAGGCTCCTGTGACCCGCTCCTAACGCTTGCATCGAGACCACCCATGACTTTAGAATTGCCTGACCCAGAGGGTCCCTTCAGGCCTCCTCCCTACCCTCTTGGTCCTCTCTCCTTGAAACCCTGTCCCCCCGGGCCTGTGACCCATGCCCTCTTTCCACCAGTCTGCTCAGCCTCCCACCTGGCACTGCCCCCTCCCTCCCTCTTCCCAGCCTTGGTGGGGCTCAGGGACCCCTCCTTGGCCCATGGCTCTCCTGGTGCTCAACACCCCAGACCTGCTGTGACCTCACTCTTCACCCGTACGCAGAGGCTCCCAAACCTTTCTGGGCACCAGGTGTCCGGGAAGACAGAAATGCCGTTCCCAAGCAAGACGCCTTGGCACTGACCTTGGCTCTGTGCAGGGTCTCTGGACTCAGGCTCGGATAAGCAGAGGATCGGAGGGGAACGTGGGCCAATTTACATAAGAATCCAGCACTGCTGGGGAGAAGAGGGCCCCCTCCTCAGCCCCTTCTCCTTGAGATCTGAAGGTAGAGACACCCAGCAGGTGGACCGCACGAGCTTGTCCCTGGTCCTGGAGCTGGTGGAAAGGGCAAAAGCCTCAACCGACAGCTTGCCACAGGCATCCGGTGGACGAGCATCCACCGGGGGACAGGGAGGGCTGGTTCGGGGCTGTGCTTAGCTCTGCTCTTCTGTTTGGGGAAATGAAGGAGAGGGTTGTTGGCCTCTATGGGCTGCAGCTGGAGTGGTGTTGAACAGTGACACCATCTGACAGTGGTGAGTCATTACAACAGTGACGTAAGGACTTCAATCCTCCGAGTCCTTGGGTAGTTGGGAAGGAAACAGGTCTCTTAACAGAGAGATTTTGGACTTTCTGTTAAGAAGGGCAGGTGGGGGCTTGAGCAGTTAATGTGAAAAACAAAGATGTGACCACATTTGTACAGTGAGGAAGTGAGTGAGACATATCGGGCACACATATACAAACATACCCCATTCTCATCCTGTATAGGCAATGCTACTGGACATCTCCTCTTGGAGTCCTGCGGGAACGCCAACCTCAGCATGCCTGAAGTTCTTGCTGTTTAACCTCCCAAAGGCCCTATCCCGGAATGTGGCACAACCAATACAGTCCCCAAGCTGGAAGCATTGGAGTCACTCTTTAAAAGATAAACGACTATGCAAATGTCTTTTCATTACATAAGTAATGTCCACCATGGGAAAATTACAAAATGATCCCATTTTACAGATGTGGGAACTGAGGCCAGGAGAAGAGTCATCATGACTTCAAGAGCACACAACAAATACGAGGCGTTCCTAGGTGCACACTGTTTATTCTAGAGACGAGAACAAATGTTTGACATTTCTGGCTTTTTAAGGAGTCTCTTCAGATGCCAGTCTCCTTGGAGTGTGGTTAATCTGTTCATGTCCTGTGAATTCATTGAGGTCCGGTTTCAGTGTTGCTCCCAGGAAGACTGACTGTCCTGATGTCCTGACCCACACTGGTACACTGATTCTGTAACAGATTCTATAAAAGTCTTCTTGAGGCCCTCCTGCTGGTGTCTGGAGACTTTGCATATTTCATCTTGTCTCATCCTTACTGTGATCCCATGAGTTTCATGAAATCCTTCTCTTTTTTTTTTTTTTTTAAGATGAGGAAATTGAAGTTGAGAGAAGCTAAGCAACTTGCCAGCTCCCACGGCAGAATTCGAGTCAGACCTGTCTGACCGCGAGCCTGGGTCTTGTCCCTGGCCTTGCTATGCTTGTCAGCCTTGGGCCTGGCTAGGAGGGGCACTCTGAGTACTGCTTCTCAAACTTGACTGTGCACTGGGAATCTTGCCAAGATGCAGATTCTGATTCAGGAGGTGGGGGTGGGATCAGAACGTCTGCATTTCTAACAAGCTCCCAAGGGATTCCAAAGCTTCTAGGCTGAGGACCACAGTTTGAGAAGCAGGAGTTCAGAGCACCCCTCTCATTCTGCAGCAGAAGAAACCAAAGCTTGGAGTAAAGCAACATACTTCAAGCCACATGGCAAGTTAGTGGAAGGGGACAGGAGAAGGTTCAGGAATGTTGATTTCCAGTCCAGACCCTTTCCTATCCTGTGTGTCAGTTATTAAGTTATCGCCTCTCAGCTCCAACCCTGTCTTTCTACGCTTGGCTTTGGATACTGGAGATGGGATTCTGCAAACTACACTGTTCTGCTTTGCCCACTGGCCCTCCATTAGGATCTGTGCATGTGCTCAAGACATGAGAGACAGAGAGAGAAAGAGAGAGACAGAGGCGGGGAGGGAGGGAGAAAGGCTGCTCAGCCATCAGTTGGAGTGGGGGAGGGGAAGGGCGAAGAAGGGACTTGCTCTCTCCTATTTGCTTCCAGAGGTGTCTGCCATCCTCTCCCTGTGAGCATAACCCAGCAGTGCTTCTATTGCAGTAGCAGTTCCTCCCTGTAGCAGCAGCTGGATCCAATCTGCAGTTTTCCCAGTCCTTGCAGAACATCCTCACAGACACCAGCACCAGCAACCAGCCCCCCTTCCCCAGGGGTTGGGTCCCAGGCCCACAGGGCCCTCCTCCAAGTGTTTACTTTGAATAATTCCGACCTCTTCCCTTTGTCCCGCAGCCCTCGGAGTCCGCAGCTTCTTGCACTTCCTGCACTTCCTCCCTCCTAAGTGTTTCCTTCTTGACCCTTCAGCACCGAGTCAACAACATTAACTGACCTTATATTTCTTTATACTAAACTCTCTCTGTTAAAATAACTGGACCTTGGCCAAGATACTCTATGATATATTAATTTAAAAATAAACAAAACATCCCATCTAGATTCTGAATTCCTGGAGGGCGGCCACAGGGTCATTATGATGAGTCTGGCGTCTATCGGAGTGAGTGCCTGGGCATAGCAGCAAATACACACATGCGCGCGCGCGCACACACACACACACACAGAATGGATGAAGCTGTTACACACTTTTCTTTTAATGCGAGACCCTTAGACAGGCCTTAAAGTCCATGTTTTAGCATTAACAGGATTTGGGTTTCTAATCAGACATTTTCAATTATTAGGCAAATTGCTTGCACTTCCTCTCCATTTCCTCCTCTGGAAAATGGAGGTAATACCCACCTTTGGGTTGTTAGAATTAGAAATGATGCAGGCAGAGAGCTGACACCATGCTTTGGAGAGCTGCCAGGACACAAGCTGTTAAAAGGGGATCAAGTCGATGTTCTAATCAGGTTCCAGCGGAGAAGAACAAGAAGCACATGGTGACCTAGGAAGGTTAAATCGTCCACGAGGATGAGATAAATGGGAGGTAATTTTCTGATGAGGTTAAGACGGGGAGGGAGTCGAGGCCTAAAGTCTCCTTGGAGAGGGTTTTGGGTTTATGAGGAGCCTGGTGAACACCAAGCAGCCATTCAGGGCCCTCCACGTGCCAGGCCCAGTGCCAGGCTCTAGGGCTGCAGAGATGAATGGGACAGGCCCGTTGTCTTGGAAACACACAGGGCATCCAATCAATTCACTCAACTCACATCACAGAGGGTCTACTGGGGGCTGGGCCCTGAGCCAGTGGCTGGGCGGCAAAGGTAAATTAAAGTGGTCTCCGACCTGAGGAATTCAGAATTGAGTAAGAGGCAAGTGAGACCAAAAGGATAATAGGCACGTAAAGCTTGGAGGATGCTCTGCTGCTTAAATGGCCTTGCAGCCCCCGTCCCTCTGCAGCCCATCCTGTTAACTCATGGCCATTGCAGCCATATCCCTAAGGCTAAGCTCTGCTCTGAAAAAGAGCTTAGCAGGCGAGGACTCTGGTTCAGGGGACAGGCACATCTGGGCTCAAATTCTAGATCCTCATCTTGTTACCTGTGTGGCTTTGAGCAAGTCTAAGGCGGATTTCATCTGTAAAATGGGACAGTACACAACCTAACAGGGATGTGCTGGTGGTTAAGGGAGAGAAAGTGTGGAAAATGCTCAGCACAGGGACTTCCCTGGTGGCGCAGTGGTTAGGAATCCACCTGCCAACGCAGGGGACACAGGTTCAACCCCTGGTTCGGGAAGATCCCACATGCCACGGAGCAACTAAGCCTGTGCACCACAACTACTGAGCCTGCGCTCTAGAGCCTGAGAGCCACAACAACTGAGCCCACGTGCCACAGCTACTGAAGCCCATGCGCCTTCTGTGGCCTTGCTCAAGGCTGTGTAGTCTCCAAGTCAGGTTCTCCGGGCCTCCCAGAAATGCAGTGAGATACCCAAGATCCTTTAATATGTTCCTTTTCTGCTTAATTATCTGGAGTTGTGTTACGTTGCTTGCAAACACAGCTCACTGCCAATGTGTTGGACACTGCTGGGTGCTGGGGTACAGAGAGGAAGAAGGTGCGGTTCCTGCTGTCAGAGGTGACCAGTGTAGTTGGTGGTCATAGCGTAATATGTAAATAAAGTCACTTTATATTTATTCATTCAACAGCTTTTTTGCAAGTCAGCTCTGTGGTGGGCATCCTGCAGCATGAACTGTACAATGGTCGAGGCTCAGAAATAAGGCAGAGAAGGGACAATAAATTTGCCTTTTCTTCCCATCCACCTGGGCCAAGGGAAACCCTGCATACTCCTCAAAGTGAGCTCAGTCACCAATGAAGTCCTCTTTGATCAGTGCCTCCTGCCCCACCTTCAGCTTCCAGCTGGGTTCTGTCACTCCTTCCTTTCAACCCTTGTGGCTCTTTCTACCTTTGTAAGAGATTGATCACACAGCCTGGGAGAGGAGTTCAGGGGAGATCAATCAATGGGACCAACGGGCCAAGCTCCATGCTAGACTCGGGGCAGACAGAACTAATAGTAGACGCTTGATACCTGGCAGCTGTGAGCTACCACATTACAGGCGTTATCTCGTTTCTTCTCCCAACAAGTCGAGGAATAGGTGCTACTCATCTAATTTTATGGATGAAGTGTGGAGAAGTCTGGCTCAGAGTTACGGAGCCATTTAAAGGCAGAGCCAGGATTTGAAACCAGGCCACTTTGACTTTAGGACCCACTACGTCAGGTAGTTCAGGTGACGCGAGGAGCCATGCTGCCTACCTGTGTGCTCTGAGCACGCTTTCCTGGCTGTTCAATGTGCTCCTCGTGGATGGGGAGCCCTGTTTAGTATCCACACAACACTCTATGTGTACCGACCGTATGGCTGATACAGCCACAGAAAGTCCTGTAGGAAACCCACCAGAGAAAGATTTGCATTGACACATCTGGGGACAAACTGCATTGGGAAAGCTGATTTTGTTAACAACTGAACAGGAGTTGAGAAAGTGAGGAGGACTCAGCACTCTAAAACTCTTTGAATGAGTTTTGGATACAATGATGATGATGGTGGTGGAACTGGTGGTAGAAGTGATGGCAGTGGTAATGATGGTGGTGGTGGTGATGGTCATGATGGGGGTAATTGAGAGGTTAATGGAGGTGTTGGTAGTAGTGATGTTGGTGGTGGTGGTGGTGAAGCTCATGGTGATGCTGATAGTGTTGGTAGTGGCGGCTGTGGTGGTGATGGTGGTGGTGACAGTGCTGATGACAGTGGCAGTGATGTTTGTGTTGATGGCGATAGTGGCAATGGTAATGGCTGTGATTGTGATGATGGTGGTGATGGTAGAGGAGGTGGTGGTGATTATGGTGATTATGGTGATGGTGGTTGTGGTGATGATGGTGGTAATTGTGGTGGTGATTATGGTGATGCTGGTGATGGTGGTGATGATGGTGGTAACTGTGGTGGTGGTGGTGATGGTGGTACTGGTGGTAGTGATGTTGTGATAGTAGTTATGATGGTTGTATGATTGTGGTGTGATGGTGGTGGAGGTGGTGATGTCGATGGCGATCACAGTGACGATGATGATCTGGTGAAGGCATAGAAATGGAAAGAGCACAGGACTGAGGATTCAGACTGACCTGATTTTAAAGCCCAGCTCCACTACTTACTTGCTCTATTACTTGGAGCAAGTTAACACTTCTTTCTTTGAGTCCCACTTTCTTCATCTGTCAAATGAGAGGACTAAAGTGAATCCATTCATTTATTCTATCATCAAACATTTATTGAGCATTAGTAGGTGACCAGTAGTGTATGGTTGCTAGGGATTCAACAGACTTGTAGTTCAATAAAGTTATCAGAGGGCATAGAACCAATTGTGTGTATAATCAGTACAAAAAGCACTGAAATAGAACACAGAAGAGT